ACAAGTACAAGTACAAGTACAAGTTCAAGTACAAATACAAGTACAAGTACAAGTACACGTACAAGTACAAGTACAAGTTCAAGTACAAGTACAAGTACAAGTACACGTACAAGTACAAGTACAAGTACAAGTACAAGTACTACTACTACCACTACTACTACTACTACTACTACTACTACTACTACTACTACTACTACGATTACTACTACTACGACGACTACTACTACTACTACTACTGCTGCTACTACTACTGCGACTGCTACTACTACTTCTACTCCTACTCCTACTACTACTACTACTACTACTTCTACTACTACTACTACTACTACTACTACTACTACTACTACTACTATTAATACGACGACGTCGACGCCTTCTACTACTACTACTACTACTACTACTACTACTGCTACTACTACTACTACTACTACTACTACTACTACTACTACTACTACATCTACTACTACTACTACATCTACTACTACTACTACTACTACTACTACTACTACTACTACTACTACTTCTACTACTACTACTTATTCTCCTATTCTTCCTCCTCCACCTCCTCCTCCTCCCCCTCATCCTCCTTTTCCTCCTCCCCTTCCTCCTCCTCGTCATCCTCGTCTTCAGGGTCGGCGGCACCGGCCGTAAGGCCTTCACAATAATATTGGCGATGAGCAGGGAAGACGAAAAAGGAAGGAGTTTGGCGAAAGAGGGAGAAGCAAGAACAAGACAAAGAGGGAGAGGAATGATGGCTGATTTTCTACTTGGAGAAAACAGCGTGGCGCAACCATGGTAAGTAAGTAGGTGGCCCGCCCCGTCTGCGAAACTGAGCTGGGCGGGGCCTCCTTCCGTGACGGACGGAGGGTGCGCGTGAGAAAAAGGAGGGGGTCAAGATGAGGGCCCTGAGATCCGACGTTGAGGGAAAATTGCAATGTCACAACCAATCACTACGAGATCCCTCGACCCCATCTTTGCGCTGTAATTTTCGAGCCGGGTCGATCCGCGATGGTTCTGGGCAACATCGCCCGTTGCGACAAGATCGCGACGCGCAGATCCCAAGGGAAGACGACCCCGAACGGCATGCCGCCTGCCACGTCCGTCTCGGTGGCCAGCACGGACATCGGGTCAATCTGGTCGGTCATCGGGACTTTGCGCTCCACGAGATCCTGCAGTGGTGCCCAGGCCGGCCCGTTCTGTTCCAATCCCATACTCCTTCCTCCTCCTCCTCCTCCTCCTCCTCCTCCTCCTCCTCCTCCTCCTCTCTCCTCATTTTCCTCCTCCTCCTCATCCTCCTCCTCCTCCTCCTCCCTCTCCTCCTCCTCCTCCTCCTCCTCCTCCTCCTCCTCCTCCTCCCCTCCTCCTCCTCCTCCTTTCCTCCTCCTCCTCCTCTCCTCCTCCTCCTCTCCTTCCTCCTCTCCTTCTTCCTCTCTTCCTCTTCCTCTCCTCCTCTGTCCTCGTCCTTCGTCCTCGTCCTCGTCTCGTCCTCGTCGTCCTCCTCTCCTCGTCGTCCCTCCTCCTCCTCCTCCTCCTCCTCCTCCTCCTCCTCCTCCTCCTCATTCTCTGGCAAGCGCCGCGGCGGGTCTCTCGCTCACGCCCGCAGCACGCGCGCCCCCGCACGGACGTTGAGCTCCAGGAAGGCCGCGACGGATCGGCAGGCGACCGCGAGCACGCCTGGCGCCCCAGCAGCCGCCCGGATAGGCCGCCGCGGCGGCACGCAGTTCAGCTGCCCACTAGGCGCCGTCCGCTCCCAAGGCGGAGCGCAGCTATGTGGCCGCGGCCACGCCGCACTCTCTGCCCCACCGGCCAGCCAGCTGCCCAGCAAGGGCCTCGGCCGCGCCTTCGTCGTCCGCCTCCTGGGCGAGCCCGCGCAGGTGGCGCCAGCACGGCCAGGAGGCGGCCGGCAGCGGCCTGCAGCGCCTCGGCGTCATCGGATGCGCTGTACAAGACGGTGACGTCGAAGAACACTCGCGGGTGGCTGGGGCGTTGCACCTCGGGGTCGAGGCTGGCCTCATCCCGCTCGGCGGTCAGGCCGCACCCGCAAGTGGGCAAGTGGCCCAGGCGCCCAGTCGCGCTGCCGCGGTCCCGCGCGCGCTGCACCTGGCGCAGCGCCAAGCCCAACGGTCCCAAGCCGGGGTGCGGACCTGGCGGTTGGCGAGGTGGCCGCGCCAGGTCGCTGCTGCGCGCCTTTAGGTCCCCGCCCCCGGGGCAGCGCCAGCCGTGGCGAACGCCTCGCCGCAACGCTGGCCGGCCCGCTCGCCCGTCCTGGTGCGGTTGCAACAGGCTTCCCGCAGCGGCGCCGCGTCTTGCCCGAGAAGGGCGCGGGCGGTCGGTGGCTTTGTAGTCCGCGTCGTCCAATCGCTCGCGGGGCTGCCCCGTCAAGGCAGTCTGCCACCCGGCAGCGTGCGCCCCGCCGCAAGAGCGGAGGAGCGCCCCGTCTTCTGGCTCCAGGACCCCCAGCAAGGATTCGTAGTTTTAGATGTCTATCCTTGCGGTGAAGGTTTTCTGCAGCTTGCACCAGGGCGTCTCTTTCAGCTCTCGCCAGGAGGGCACCTCGGGGGGCTCCGCGCCTGGGCGGGGCGGCGGCGGCAGCTGCGCGAGCCCGGGCAGCGCGTTGTGGAAGGCGGCCGCGAAGGGGAGGCCGCAGTTCTCGAAGTAGCCCAGACAGGCGAGCCCTGGGCGCTCGCGCACACCGCTCAAGTTCTTCGCCCAAGAGGAGGCCCAGGCCGCCAGCGCCAGTTGCCGCTGGCTGCGCATGCCGCGCCCGCCAGCTCGCAAGGGCAGCTGGCACTGCGCCTGCTGGGTCTCCGTCACGGCGTCCAGGTCCGCGTGCTTCTCGCAGGCGGTCAGGAGGGCTCTGCCGTAAGCCGCGGCAGCCGCCGAGGCCGCCAGCGTGTTCGTCCGGAGGGGGCGCGTGAACTTGCTGGTGCCGCAATTGTGCGGGGAAGCCGTTGTCCGGAGAGCCACGAGCTTGGCGAGGAGCTCTGTAGCCTGCCCCGCCGTCCCCTCGCAGCGCGCCTTCGCGTAGTCCGCCGCGCCGAAAACAACGCGGCGCCCGTCGCTCTCGTCCAGCAGCCCCCCCACGGGCAAGGGCCCCCCGAACGGCACGCCCATGCGCGCGCCCTTGCTCCTCCAGGCCTGGAGTGCAGGCCGCGCCCGCGGACCAAGTATGCGTTTCCCGCGGCCCCAGCTCCAAGCCTGCGCAGGACTGCAGAGGCCGTCTGCGCCGCCGCCTGCACTTCGCCCGCCAGCGCCGCCGGCGCCAGCACGACGACGTCGTCGAGGTAGGCGAAGACGTGCACGTCGCCTGGCTCCAGCCCCCGCTACCCCGCGGCCGCCCGCAAAGCGTCCTCCGGCGCGCGGAAGCGGGGCCACATCCCGCAAGCAAAGAGCAGCGGCGCCAGCGGGGTCCCCCTGGCCCACCCCGCAGAGTGGAGCGCAGGCGGTGGCAGACCCCGGCCGCGTCCCAAACGTGATAAAGGGACTCGCGCTGGCCCTCCTTCTCCTCCTCCTCCTCCTCCTCCTCCTTTCCCTATGTTTCTTTCTTGTTGGTCTCTTTATGGCCTTATGATCATCACAACACGGATACAAGACGAATAACTGCCCTAAGGAAGCGGTCTGGACCTAGCTCTGGGGTAGAGGTCCTGGAATATGTCAGACCCGGTGGGTGAGGCGGTGGCCTGTGGAACCTTGCCTGGTCTGGGCACAGGGAGTGTGGAACGAATAAGAAATCACGATGGAAGAGGAGGATGAGGATGTCCTTGCTGGAGAAGGGGTTGGTGGTAAGGGGAGCGGGTCGTCTCATTTGGGCTCCAGACATCCGCCTCGACACCCGCCGAGCTGATTCGTTCAATCCGCGGATGTGAGATCCAGAACACCCCCCCCGAGGGTAATCGCTGATATCCATAACCCGGGCCCCGTGAGACCGAAATCGAAGAGATGCCACCAATTGAGCGACGAATTCAAAAAGGTTTTACGCGAGATCGCACAGCGACCTTACGCCGCGGCTTACGCGGGGACACCGGCACGCGCGACCTTGCGCGGGCAGCTTACGCGCCAATGTCGGTAAAGACGGCCAAGCTTCTTCTGCGCCGCTGATCGGCGACTCCAAAGGGTGTGGTTTACAAAGGGTGTGGTTTGCAACCGGCACCCTGGGGAACATCCTGGGAAGCACCCTAGGGGGCGCGCGGGAACCTCGATAGAGTTCTCCCGCGCCCCGAGGAGGCCCGACGAGGACAATGTCGTGCCCCTCAGACCCCAACGGTGCCGATCGCAAAGCACACCCAGGCGTAACCATACCCTTTAGTCGCCGAGCTGAGCTGACCAAAACTCGGGGATCTTCTGACCCGGGTCAATCCAGACCCGGGTCAGCAGGAAACCAAAAACTGCAATGCAGGAAAAAAAAACTGCACCGAAGGTCTTCGCAGACCCGGGTCAGCCAATGGGGCGCGGCCGCCTCGCGGCCACGAGCGGCTCCCTAACCCGGGTCAGCCAGAGGGGGTCTTCGCAAGATCCTGCAGGATCTGGCTCCGTGGCTGACCCCCGTTTCCATTGACCCCCGTCTCAAGGCTCCCGAAAAACATCCGATCGTCGGGATCCGGGCCTGCAGCAACCTGCCATTGCAGGCGCCGCCCGACCTTCTCTCGCCGTCCACTTCCCCGCTGCAGCTCCTGCCGCCGCTGCCCGCCCTGCGCGGGTGGTGCCAAAACCACTGCGATCGGGGTCCTCCTCGTCGTCGTCCTCTTCGATGCCCCTCCTCCTCGTCCTCGTGGTCGTTGATCGTCGTCCTCATCCTCGCGGTCGTCCTCGTCCTTTTCTTCGTCGTCCTCGTTGTCCTTAGTCGTCCCCGTCGTCGTGGTCATCCTTGTCTTCGTCGTCTTCTTCGCAATCGTCCCCGACGTCGTGGTTGTCCGCGTTGTCTTCGTCGTCGTGGTCGTTAGCAACGTGGGCCGTCGTCATGGCCAACGTCGACGGCCACCACCACGACACAACAAACAATCCTTGGTCCACGAGTTCTTCCAGAGGTCCTCCCGGAAGACCGCCGAGAACGGCGAGATGTAGCCCACGAACGCGGAGGAGATCAGACAATTGCCAATCAGCTTCAGCTGGGGCGCAAGAGGGGGACAAGGAAGGATGAAGGGGCGATGGAGGGAAAAGAGTAGGAGGGAGGAGAAGGAGGACAAGGACACCTTCCAAAATGTTCGGCTTATAAAACAATTTCCTGAGAATTCCGACGGTTGTCTGATGGTTCCAGCAGCCGTATCTTCCACCTAATCCTCGCTCCCACATCCCCCCACCCTCCCTCGTCCAAAATCCCTCCTCGATGGTCCTTCCTCTATCCGCTATCCTGCCCTCCCCCCTGCTTCTTGCTCTCCTCGCTCCCCCTCGCACGACCAAGCGACGCTACCAGGCTCTGCGCGCTTCATTCAGCAAAACCCCTCAACCCATGCGATCCGATCCCGCTAAATCCCCAAACTGGGCCTCCTTATATGCCTGACCCCCTTCCCGCTGTGCTTTGAATAACCTACGCAGGCCACCCAGCAACCCACCCTGGGGACTCCCCATGGAAAGCCAACAGCCGGTCGCCTGTTTTGCAAAGTTCTATTACTGCTCAAAAAGTTTGATTATTCCCCTCTTGGAATTTCTCCATCGATGCCACAGCTCGTCGGGCAGCCTCGTCGGGCGTTTTGAAGGGTAAGTCACACAAGCGAAAGTACACAAAGACACGCTAAAGACACAGCAGCTCCCCGACACGATAGATGAATATGTGGTACGCTCAGAATGGGTGAGGCAAACATTGGTACGATGCCCAGCGGCAAATGCTGTCCGAGCCCCAGCTGGGCGCCGGCTGGATGGGTCGGTCAGGGGAGGGGATGGGAGGGGAGGGAGGGGAGGGAGGGGAGGGAGGGAGGAGGAGGGGAGGGGAGGGGAGGGAGGGAGGGAGGGGAGGGAGGGGAGGGAGGGGAGGGAGGGAGGACAGGCTGGACGCTGTCTTGTGGAGGGGAGGGATCAGCCAAGAATATGGGGCGGCAGAGGGGCGGACATGCAGCCGAGGCCGAGGCTGAGGCTGCGCCCACAGCGCCCCGAAGGAACGGCCCTCGGCGGGGATAGAGGGTGGCGCGGGGGCGCTGGAATCTGACTATACACGTCGCCCTGTGCGGAACACGTGCGAATCCTCCATGCCTTCCCGTAGCTGCAAGCCCGTCGCTATGGATCCCAACTCTTCTGCGCAACTATCACGTACAAATGCAGCCACGTCGTCGGTCCACCGTTTGCACGTTCGGCGCTGAGAGGCAGATCCGCAGGTGAAGGGGGCGATAAAGACACAGAGCGAGTGAGGGCGTAAAAGGGCTTGCTGGGCGGAAACGGAGCAGCTTCCCAACTGGGGTGCGAGCAGAAAGCGTCTGAAGATCGCGCCGCACCGCCAATGCATCGGCGACGTCCGCGATGCTCTGGCGACGTCGGCGTCACATCGCGCCGCACCGCCAATGCATCGGCTGTGAAGGCTCGATCCTCCGACACCGTCCGCTTCGACCCCCGTGGGCGGGCCTGCAAGATATGACAGGGGACTCGAGACAGGGCATGAGAGAGGAGACGGACGAGGGACGGCATGACGACAGGCAGAAGGACGAGGCCGCGGAGCCCGCCCTCCGCCCCCGGCCCAGACCATTCCGACCCGGCCCGCGCTCGATGGCCCGGGGCCCGGAAGCGTTCCCCGCGAGGCCGCGCTCGGGGGAGGAACGACGGCCGAAGAAGCGACTCACTCCGCTGGAGGCCTGGGCCAGGACGAGGCCGCGGAGGAGAAGACACGCACGAGCAAAGATGGGGCAGCAGGGGGCCGAGGCTGCGGAGGGAGGGGCGGCGGAGGGGCGGCGGCAGGGGCGGCAGCCTCTGGATGTGAGGGCACACAGGAGGGCAAGGCCACGGAGGAGGCCGAGGAGGAGAGGCGAGGGCCGAGTCGATGATCCTCAGAACGTGTGCCCGCGCCAGAGTGTGCTGGCCAACGGGATCCTTTCAAAACGACGCAGCCACTGAGATGAGGGCCGAACGGGGTAGTAAACACACACACACACACACACACTCGGCCAACACATGTCCAGAAAACCATCGACCGAGGATCTGGCCAGCCAGAATGAGTACGTACGGAGAAAACTGGGTACGATTCCCAATAGAAAGTGTTGTTCAGACCAACAACGGCCGCTGTTGGCCAGGCGGCCTTCTGTCTCACATGGACAACGTCCGCGGCGACGCCGACAGCGAATCCTGTTCAAATGAAGAGCGGACTGTAGCTCTTCGAACACGTTCTTTCCGTACCCATGTCGCTCGTGCCGAGAGGAGGCCGAGGCGGCCGAGGGAGGGGCGGCGGCAGAGAGGCCGGATGGTGTCCTGGAGTGTCTGCACGGCCCCAACCGACGTGGAGGGCCGAGCGGGGTAAACACACACGCACGCACGCACGCACGCACGCACGCACGCACGCACGCACGCACGCGCGCGCGCGCACGCACGCACGCACACACACACACACACACACACACACACACACACGCGCACGCACGCACGCACGCACGCACACACACACACACACACACACACACCACACACACACACACACACACACACACACACACCACGCACGCACGCACGCACACACACACACACACACACACACGCACACACACGCACACACACACACTCGCGCACACGCGCGCGTTGGGCCAACACACACACACACACACACACTTTCGCACACACACGCGCGCGCACACGCACACACGCACACGCACACGCACACGCACACACGCACATACACACACACACATACACACACACACACACGCACGCACGCACACACACACACACACACACGCACACGCACACGCACACGCACACGCACACGGACACGCGCGCGCGCGCACTGGGCCAACACATGTCCCGAGGGCCATCGACCGAGGATAAAACAGGGCTAGGATCGGGATAAATCGCTCCAGAGCGTTCCGGAGCGCTCTCAGAGCGTTCTGGAACGCTCTGGAGCTGCCGCGGCGCCCAATACATCCTCCAAACCCGCCGATTCTCAGAGATTCCGAAATATCCCGATCCGATTTTGTCCCGATCTTCGCGTCGTTTTAGAGGAGGCCGAGGCGGCCGAAGGAGGGCCGGCGGCAGAGAGGCCGGACGGCGTCCTGGAGGTCCTGCAGGGCCCCGACCGACCGGGTCCAGCGCTCCTCGAGGGGCCGCGGCCCCGGCCGGCGAGGGCAGGCCCCCGGATCGGCGGCGCGCCGAGGGGGAGGAGGAGGAGGAGGAGGAGGAGGAGGAGGAGGAGGAGGAGGAGGAGGAGGAGGAGGAGCAGGAGGAGGAAGAGGGAGGAGGAGGAGGAGGAGGAGGAGGAGGAGGATTTTTTTCGCCTGGACCTTTTCCTAGCCTGGTCTCAGGCTAGGACCCAAGCGGTGACCTCATGCGGTGGCTGACTTCGGCAGCAACCCACGGGCCCCGACAAAAAACGAGCTAGTACGAGCCACCTCTGGGCTCATAGCTCACGCGAGCAGCTTTCGAGCGAGGACCCTCCGCACCATCCTCACAGCTCGTCTCGCGGCCCCTCGCCCCACTCTCGTTGGAGGGAGCCGAGGGAAAAGAATTCACAGCCTGCTGCACTGACTCGGCACGACTGGCGGCGTGTCGAGCAAACTTGTTGGGCCGAGCTTCGGCACCAGAATCAGACGCGGAGCGGAACCTCGACCCCTGGTCTGCAGGGGTCGAGTGGAACAAGACACTACATTGACACGACCCTACGTGGGAAGGCGCTCGGAGACCGTGGATTTCGAAACCATCCGAATCAAAAGTTGGGGACGGGCATTGAGAATTCCCTTGGGCGCTCACCGTGAGAGCGTGAGGACCATCCGCACCATCCTCACAGCTCAGCTCGTGGCCCCTCGCCCCACTCTCGTTGGAGGGAGCCGAGGGAAAAGAATTAACAGCCTGCTGCACTGACTCGGCACCATTGGCGGCGTGTCGAGCAAACTTGTAGGGCCGAGCTTCGGCACCAGAAACAGACGCGGGGCGGATCCTCGACCCCTGGTCTGCAGGGGTCGAGTGGAACAACTGGGGAGTGGCAGCAGCAACCACGACCTGCACGACAGACGACTGGTCGACGACCTCCTCACGCTGCTGCCCATCTCCCGTGAACGGCATTACGGTGCCATCCTGCATAAGACTGGTGCGGGCGAAACTGCACGGGCGCTTATCATGCCAACAGGAGCGCGGGCCACTTGGGCCACTCGCTGAGATTGCTGCAGCAGCAGTATCGACAGACGAAGACTCAACGACAGAGTTAATATGCTGCAGCTCCTAGCTCGCAGGTTGCACGGACGACGTCTCAACGACAACTTCTTCCTGCGAGCCAGGGTGTGCATCCACAACTTCTGGTGAGATTTCCACGGTCACACCAGGAAGTCGTGGGTGCCGACCCTTACATATTCTGTACTTCCATCTCTCAGCATTGTTCCTGGTTGGGCGTCCGCACTGCTTACCAAGAAGAGCCAAAGGACCCAGGGTCGAGACAGCCTTGCAACTGACACAAACGAACAGCGGCGAGCCATCGCTGCACTGGAAGGATAAAAGCCTGTGTCCGAGAGCCGAGACCTGCCACAAAATGTCGGGAATAACACCAGAACAACCCTCACATGCAGGCTTGCCTGAACTACCGAAAATTAACGGAGTGGGATGCTTCGTGCGCAAGCAAACGCTACAACGCCAATAGGAGCGGCACCACTCCCACACATGCTCAAACTCCGTGCCAGGTTTCACTTTGATTTTCTTAGGGGGCCTGGCCAGCTCAACCCCGCTGAGGTCGAGACGAGGCCACTGCGGCAAAATCCGAGCGGCCAGGCGGTAAACAGCCTTCGCAACGCTGATTTTGTGCGCGAGGTCGGTCAGTTGGGCGTCCGTAGGAGAAGGAGGAGGAGGAGGAGGAGGAGGAGGAGGAGGAGGAGGATGAGAGGACGAGGAGCAGGAGCAGGAGCAGGAGGAGGAGGAGGAGGAGGAGGAGGAGGAGGAGGAGGAGGAGGAGGAGGAGGAGGAGGAGGGAGGAGGAGGGAGGAGGGAGGTGGAGGAGGGAGGAGGAGGAGGGAGGAGGGAGGAGGAGGGAGGAGGGAGGGAGGAAGGAGGAGGGAGGAGGGAGGAGGAGGAGGGAGGAGGGAGGAGGGAGGAGGGAGGAGGAGGAGGAGGAGGGAGGGGGAGGAGGAGGAGGAGGAGGGGGAGGAGGGGAGGAGGGATGGGAGGGGGGAGGGGGGAGGAAGGGAGGAGGAGGAGGGAGGAGGGAGGGAGGAGGAGGAGGGAGGGAGGGAGGGAGGGAGGGAGGGAGAGGAGGAGGAGGAGGAGAAGCAGGGGGGAAACGAGAGGCTCGAGGTGTTCGGGGCGTTGCCGTTGGCTCTTTTCGGTTCCCCACTGGGGCGGGTCCTGACCAGCAGCTGCGGGGGGAGAGGGAGAAAAAGGCACGGCACAAACGTAGGCGCTCCGCGCGGACTTCTCGGATCCGCGCTGGACCCTCCTCCCTGGACGCTCCGCGCGCCAGGGAAGAGGGTCAAAAAATCCGCGCGGAGCGCCCAAGTTTCTGTGTACTCTAGTTCCCTTATTAAACGTGGGAGGCAAAAGTCGTGGGGGGGCGACGCCAGCGAAAATCATCCCAGGGCCCAATCTTCACGCAGGCGAAGAATGCGTCGCCAAAACGGCGGCGAAAACTATGCACCATCTCAGGGTCGCCAATGATCATGGTGAGTCGAATGAATATGATAATGATGATGGTTTCGATATTGATGGCGAAGACGATCACATGATCATGGGGATGATGGTGTACAATGAGAACAGTATGCAAGATGTGGTGTATAAACCGTATTATAAAGATAATGCTAACGCTGATGATGATGATGATGACGACGATGACGATGACGATGACGATGATGATGATGATGATGATGATGATGATGATGGTGATGATGCTGATTATGATGGTTGTAGCAGTGACGATGGTGACGTTGATGATAATGATGGTGATAATGCAAATGAACATCACGAGGACGACGAAGATGATGGCGATGAAGATGGGGAGGAGGTCGACGAAGGGGATGCCGTCACATGTGCCACCTTTTTGTCTTACTTCTCGGGGCCTACATGGACCTCACTTTGGCCGTCTTGGGGCTGTCCTGGTCTCCTGAGGGGTGGTACTCATGAAGGTCCCATGTGGCTCTCTGTGGCCGTCATGGGGACCTCTTGCGCCGTCTTGGGTCTCTCATTGGGCCTTCGTGGCCGTCTGGGCTGTCCCTTGGGGCCGTCGTGTGGCCTCCGTGGTCGTCGTCGTGCAATGCGCGAGCGCGGTTGCTGCAAAATTGACGAACATCTGTATGATGCACACCCCAATCACCGTCACTTTGGGGAACGATCTGTATTCATAGGCGCCGGCGAAAATTAAGCCGCTGGGGAACATTATATTGGTGCCCAAAAGTGCGCGCTGTGAAAATTACACCGCCCCCGTCTCATAAGGGAAATAGAATGTGAATGTTTGTCTTCTTCGAGAAGGGGGAGCTGCTGTGACAGCGCGCCCCCCCGACCGAACATGCAGCAATCACCAAAGGAGGATTGCCAGGCGTGCGTCGGTGCCCAAATCCACAGGCCCAGGCGTAAGCCAACTGAAGGAGGGGAAGAAGGAGCATGCTCAAACACAACGTTGAATTCACCGCTGGGTCTGTTGATTTGGATCGCCCCAGGCATGCAACCCGGGTGATGGACAGAGTTGGTACGGGTACGGAGCGGAAAACGACGGGACAACGAGGCCCTCGTAGAGGGGTCAAGGACGGGGACACTTTCTACTCCACTCATCGCCTTCCTCACCGCCATCCTCCTCCCTCTCCGTCTCCTCATCCTCCTTCCTGGTGCCCAGACTGGCCTGACGCGACCCTCCACGCAACCGAAGACGACAATTCAGCGCCAAATTCACCAACACTGGCGCTTCTCGTGATTACATGGCGCTGCGAGGGGGGGGAGGGGCTGGCAAGCAAAGCTGCCGGCCCACGACTTGTGTCAGATCCGCCCCCAGACTTTTTTGCCAGCCCGACGACAACTTATAAAGTTCGCGAACATCTCCTGTGACCACAAGATGGGGCTGGCAAAATATCTTTGCCAACCAATCACCCTTGGTACGACGCGGTGCTGTACAGGGGCGTTAAATGTGACCGACGTGCGCCATGAAGATGCAGACGGCACCGATGTCACAGGAAAAAACGCCAAGCGGACCAGAGGGCTTGCTGGCCAGAGCGGCATCGGAGCTCTCAAACCCACAACTCGAACAAAGAATCCTTGGAACCCGCACGCGTTGGCGACACCCCTGCAGTTTTAGATCCTCTTCCTCCCCCTCCTCCGCCTCCTCCACCTCGTGCCTCATACTCCTTTTTCCCCCTCCTATTACTACGTTACCCCTTCATCCACTTCCTATTGCTATCATGACTCCCTCCATTGGAGTGCTCGCCAGTCTGGGCAGCACTGATGTTTGCCAACTTGGCATGGGCACGAGAAGCCCCAATCTGGTGCCGATGGTGTGTTCATCATGCGCTCACATCTACCAGATCTCATAGCCCACGCAAGCGACACATCTAGCTGGGGAGGACCCGAGCCAAGTTTCCAGCCTCGGGATGCGTTCAAGCGGCTGCGCCTCGCCAGGCTTCCGAGAGGGCGCAAACCTTCCCAAAGGCAGCGGAACTTCTCAAAGCCCTGCGGCCCTCCGAGAAGCCCCGTGTCTTCTGAGAAACCTCAGAAAGCTTCTCCGAGGGCCCGAGGCCTTCTGAGCCTGCTGAGATGGTCCGCCCGCTCTGCTGTCCCCTCTGGGCACAACGCCGACAGGAGGCAACTCCTTGAGGCCCTCGTGGCAGCGCTAAGGCACTACCAAACCCGAATCGTGTCCATCCCTCTTCCTCCTCCTCCTCCTCCTCCTCCTCCTCCTCTCCTCCTCTCTCTTGCTCCCCCCCCCCCCTCTTCCCTCCTCCTCTCCTCCTCCTCCTTCCTCCTCCTCCTCCTCCTCCTCCTCCTCCTCCTCCTCCCTCCCTCCTCCCCCTCCTCCTCCCCCTCCTCCCCCTTCCAACTCCACCTCCTCCTGCTCCTCGTCCTCGTCCTCCACCTCCTCCACCTCCTCCTCCTCCTCCGCCTCCTCCGCCTCCTCCTCTTCCTCGAACGATCGCAGCAGCAACAGCCGGCCCCGCCTGTCCTTCTCCTCGGCTAGGCCAGACACCAGGCGCTCGGCCAGGTTCAGCTTCTCCTGCGCGCGCGGGGCCCCGGTGCCCCGGGGAGCGCCGGCGGAGAGGCCCGCGCAAGGGAGCACATCGAGGCCCAGAGCCCGCGGTGGCGCACGCGCGAGCGGGGCGCGAGGCACGGAGCGACAACGACTGCGGCAGCGACCCCGGCAGAGCGCAGAGGCTCAGGGCTGCTGGCCCAGCACGTATCTGTAACACCACGTCACGCCACGGCGTGAGGCGTGGTTCGGGGCTGGACAGAACCCCTTTAGTAAACGGTGGTTTAGTGAAAACGACCTCGGGCCCAAACCTGGCGGGCGCAAACCTGGAAAATAACGGCCGCGTCGCCCTCGCGAGAACCGAAAACGGACAGTTCACTAATCGACGTGTCAGGGTGGGGGTTCTGTCCACCCCCGAGTCGTGTGTACAGCGTGGGGTGCTCCAGCAATCCCGTCCGGTGGCCTCGAAAATCCCAAGAGACCTCACCGCACGTTGCACCATGGCACGGCATAACGACCAGAGCCAAAGCCGTGCGGTCACCTCAGATCCCCAATGAATCACCACACGGTGTTGTCACCGCACCCTTTGGGGGCCCCCGAGACAAGGAGCATATCTCACGCCGTGCCCTGGAGCAAGCCAAATCTCAAGCACAGAAGGGGAAGCGCGGGGCGTCCCGTGATCTGTGCCTGGGACTCGGGCCCAAGACGCCGACATGGGGCCACGCACGCGCGCACTCGCGCACTCGGGAAATCGTGTTGCTGGCAGATGGTCACGTCACCCCAAGCCGTCGCATCAAATTTCCTCGCAGTAATCGAGCGAGTGAGAAACATAGATAGGCAAACACATACCAACAAAAACGACACTAAGATGGGCACATGTACGCAGTCGCGCGCATAAGCATGCTCATGCGCCTGCGATGGGTATGTATACGTATGCGTGGGTGAGCGCATGTGCAGATGCATGCGAATGTACATGCGTCTGTGCCTGTGTCGACGTGTACTGTTCACAACAGTGCCCTCGTATGCGTGCGAATGCGTGGCTGCACGAACATGTGACATACTGGTGTACTTAATTATGCATGTGAGTTCGCACGCTGGCGTGTATCAGACAGAACATGCACGCGCATAACTCTACACGTGGAACTGCATACTTCTGTTCCTGCGGGCTCTTGCGTAGTGCGCCCCAATACTTGAAGCTCGCATGATCTGCCGTCGCCGCAGAGGAGGAACCACGTCTGCGTACGGGTGATTAGGCTTGGACACGTGTGCGTATGAATGAGCGCGCACGCACACCCACATCCTCAAATCCTCACGCGAATATAACTAATGTCGGCATGTAAACGCAGGCGACTCCATGAATCCAGGGCGGCTTCCTCTGGATTCCACGCGCGAAACGTATATCCACGGGATGGGCGCCTCGGTATCCAGGCCGCGAGGGCATGTATGCGGATAAATAGGTTGGCCGCTCGCGATTCCTTGCGTAAACCACGCCGTCAGCCGAGGGGAGACGTTGGGGTAGCAGCTCGGGGGGGAAGCATCGAGCCAAAAACGGCGACAAGCGACAGGGCCCCGACGGCCAAACATCACGCTCCTGAGCGCGGGGTGAGCTAACGGGCCCCTCTCGGCGATGAGTGGGCGATTGGGGGTCGACGCATCCCCTGCTGAACCCTATCCCTGTTGGCGCTGCCCGACCTTCGGGCTGCAGCTCGGGTCTCCACCGGCCGCTCGGGACGATCCGGACAGCCACGGGCGCCGACCCTCGGCGAGGCGCAGCTGCCAGAACGCATTCCCCGGGGGGGAAAGCTGGTGACACACCACGAAAGCGCCAGAGTACCCCGCCCCCGAAAAGCTGCCCCCCGCCCCCCTCCCTGCTGGCCCTGAACAACAGCCTCGGGCGTGGGTCAAGTTACCCGAGGGGCAGTCAACGCGGGGCGGAGAAGCGCGCACCCTCCGTACATTCTGGGCCCGAGGTGGCAGTGTGCCCGGTGTTGGGGCCACGTCGGGCCACCTTCCTGCAACCCTTCACCCCCCCCCCCACGTCTAGGAACTGCCAACCCGTTTCCCTCCGCCCGACATACGACAACGGCACCCCTGCACCGCACCACGTCTGGACTCCCGTCAGGCCCCGCTCCCGCGCGGTATACTGTGCACAGTCCTTCCGGCTCCCCGGGGCCGTGAAGGTATGCACCGTCACATGCTGGCGACGCGGGGCGACGACGCCTCGGGAGGCGCCGACGCAAGTCGTCCGGACGACAACATCGAGCCTCGGCGCCTCGAACCCGTGGCCCCGCTCGGGGGCGACGACGGGGGCGAGTGGCGCAGGGGGGCGCAGTTGAAGGGGCCCACGAGACACAGGAACAAAGACACGCAAGTCCCAGGATTCCCCATACCTTCAGAGATTTTCTGGATTTCTGTCTTCCCCCCCAATTTTCATACTCTCGCACATTTCTTCCGGGGAATCGACGACTCATTGTGTCTGTGTGTTTTCCCCCCTGAACCATACATGCAACCTGGGGCGCCGATGGTCCATGGCCTCGGCGAGGGTCCCGGGCGAATGCTTGTAATGCCCGCCATTGGGCAATTCGTCCCTTTGAGCAGGGACCGACCGTCCCGGCATCTCTATAGTCCTACCACGAAATGTCCTTAGAACCCAAATATGTTCTGAGAACAAAAACAATGTTCTTAGAACATAAGCCCGAAGTGTTAAAACAAGACAGTCTCAACCAGAAATGTCCTAAGAAAAAAAATCGTGCAGACCACAAAACGTTCTTAGAACATTGTTTGGTAGGGCTATAGGCGAGCCAGGACGCTTCGCCACTCTTGATCCCTGTCGCCGCCTCCGACTCGACGATCCTCTGGCGCCCGGGCGAATCGTGCCCTTCCGGGGGCGCCCGGCGCGGGGCGGGCCGCCGCCACTCGCGTCCTGGCAGCGGACGGCCTGGCCCTCCACCGCGGACTTCTCGGCCTCCGCGTCCTGGGCGGCGGCGTCGGCAAGCGTCGTGACGGGCGAAAGGGGGGGATAGCAAAGGGGGGGTTTGAGAATCAGCTCACGTAGCTGATTTTCCCGCGCCGGAGGCGACTATGTATCGAGGAATGGGCCCCTCGGTGGGGCCGAAACCAGCTGCATGCAGCAAATTTCGTAACCCCCCCTTTCTCAATCCCCCCCTTTCGTCCAGCCCGAAAGCACCAAAGCATGAGCAGAAACTTTCGGAGGTCCGCGCGGATTTTTTGATCGGCGCTGGGCCCCAGCGTCGGGGGCGGGGAGGGCTGGCGAGCCAACGCGGGGGGGAGTTTCGGGGGCCGTCCAAAGAGAAGGATAGCAAAAAAAGAGACAAACATACACTGTCGCAAGGATGCACGGAATTCTCCGATCGACGCTGGACCCTCCTGTTGGCGCCTTCGGCGCCGCCCGCGCGACAGAGACACCGGGGCCCCAGCGCTGGCCAAACAATTCCATACAGGCATGCGACAACTGGTGGCGTCCTCGATCCTCCAGCCTCGAGACCCCCAAAGGAGTGGAGGGGAACGCCAGGGCGGGACGGCTCGGGGGGCCATCATCGGACGGGGGTTAGCGGTACATCTCGGATCTATGCCGGCAGCTCCCCGATAAGCAAGCCGAGCGTCCCTGGGAGGGGCGGGCAATCGAGCCCCTGTTGAGGATCAGTGGGCGATTGGGGGTCCATGCGCATCCACCTGAGCCGCCTTGATCGTGGCGGCCCCCGCGTGGGCTTCCGACGCCGAGCGCGTCGTCCGACGTCGAAGTATCGGCGGTTTGCCGAGCGCCAGCTCATCCCACATCGGATCGTCCGGGGCCAACGTCGGCGTTCCAGCTTGAACGCCCGCAAGGGGGCGCCGCCGCGTCGACGCCACGCGAACTCTCCGTGCATTCGGACCCAGGCCAGAAAAACACTCCTCAAAAACACGAGACCTTCCGTCGGCCAAAACAGGCAAGACATGCAAGGGTACCCTCACCAATAATCACAGCACACGAACATCCAACATACACGAAGAAAACGAGGGTACCCTCCCGGAGCCGACATCGATCTTATACCTCGGACCGAACGTGGTGCTAGTTCGGGCGGCTTGCAAGCCATGTTGACGTTGCCCATGGGCCATGGCTGCCCAAGCGGAGGGCAGCGGCAGAGAGGGTTGAGGCTTGTTGATTTGCAATATGACCTGGAAAGAGCCTGGCGCGCGAGCGTCGACGTGCAAGAAGCACGACGCCCCGCGGTCCCCGGGTCGCCGCCCGGCCCCCCGGCGGCCACGCGGGCCCACACAGACACCCGCCCCAACACGCCCCCGGCGAGCGCATCCCGAGGTCGAAAGCCGCCCAGGAACCGGCGACACGCTCGAAGATCCACACGCGTGCGACCGCAGCGCCCAACCCCACGGCCGCCACCCACTCCAGCACCCCCACCGCCTCGGCCGCCTCGTCGGCGTCGCCGCCGTGGCTTCCGTTCCATCGTCGCGGGTGGCCCGTGCCTCGTGGCCCCTCGTCCCGCCCGTGTCAGGCGGCGCGCACAGAGGGGGTTCGGGGGAGGGGGGAAGGCTTCTAAGAGGGAGGCCGCTTCTCAGGAGGCGCCGGCCCCGCCTCCACAAACGAGGCCCGCGCCCTCTCAGAAGCGGCGGTGCTTCCGAGAAGCCCCCCCCCCTCCTTGGATGCCTGCCCCCCTGCCCCCCCCCCGCACGTGGCCGACGTGTGCAGGAGGCATCTTTTCTCGAGCTCCTGACGAGCGGCCCGATGCCGCGAGGAGCCCCAGCGCTGGCCGCGGACGGCCCGCGGCCTTCTGCCTGGGCAGGAGGAGGAGGAGGAGGAGGAGGAGGAGGAGGAGGAGGAGGAGGAGGAGGAGGAGGAGGAGGAGGAGGAGGAGGAGGGAGGAGGAGGAGGAGGAGGAGGGGGAGGAGGAGGAGGAGGAGGAGGATGGAGGAGGGAGGAGGAGAGGAGGAGAGGAGGAGGAGGAGGAGGAGGAGGAGGAGGAGGAGGATAGAGGAGGAGGAGGAGGAGAAGGAGGAGGAGGAGGAGGCGGAGGCGGAGGCGGAGGCGGAGGCCTGGGCAGGCGCGCGGGGGCGCCCCCGGCGGCGTCGGGGTGCCGGCACGGGCTCCTGCGCAGCGGAGCTCCCGGGGAGGGGCCCGAGCAGCTGGCGCCGGAGGGTGGCGCCGAGGTCGAAGGTCGAAGTACGACACGGAGACGCGCGCGGAGACCCAGAGATCGGGCTCGGGTCGGGCGAAAGGGGGGGATAGCAAAGGAGGGATTTGAGAATCAGCTCACGTAGCTGATTTTCCCGGCGCCTCCCGGCGCCGGAGGCGACTATGTATCGAGGAATGGGCCCCTCGGTGAGGCCGAAATCAGCTGCATGCAGCAAATTTCGTAACCCCCCCTTTCCCAATCCCCCCCTTTCGCCCGGCTCGACGGGCGTCTCGAAAAAGTCGAGGCGGAAGTTTTTGTTCGTAGTTTTCGGCCTCTCGAGGCCGTCGCCGGGCCTCGGGACCGTCAACTAAACGACTCGGGAAGAAAAACCGGCCCGGGGGAAGTGGTCGCTCGGGGGTCCGTGTCTCGAGAAAAATCGAGGCGTCAGATGTCTGGGGACACGGCCCGCGTCGTGCCCCGCGCGGGTGCTGCCACGGTGGGGCCGAAGCACCCCGCTGCACACGCCACCCCTTCAGGGGACATATTCATTCACTACCGGAAGGCTGTGCGCAAGAGGCCGGCCTGCCGCTCGGCGATCGCGCCGCATCGCCGATGCATCAGCGATGCATCAGCGATGCATCGGCGACGCCGGCGGTGCATCGGCGATGCGGCGCGATCTTCCGACCCCAGACATGCGACGTCCTGATTTTTCCAATACGGCGTCCCCGGAAGTCCGGACCCTTTCCCCAGGACCGGATTCTCATTCTGAATCGTTTTTGACAGTCCTGGGGCCGGCGAGGGCCCCCAAGGGCCGAAAATAGCGAAAAACTTGCCGTCCTCATTTTTGATTCAACGACGCGAGCATGTCTGGGACCCCATCTGCTCCAACCCCATCCGGGAGGCACATGTCTTCGCGCCCTGCCTGTGGCCTGCGCCGCGAGATTCGCGCAGCCGTGCCGAGTCCTCCCCGCCTCACTGCTTCGGGTCGAACGGATGGGACGCCCAGATCTACCCAAAAAAAACTCTCCAAAAGTCGTCCCCTGACTATTTTTCACCGTTTTTGGATTTCCCTCCTGTAGAGGGACAGTCCCGACTGAAATCTACGCCCAAATCTCCGACGATTCGATGGGCTCTTCGCAACTGGCGGTGCTTCCTCGAATTCGACCTCATGGGGCCCGTCAGCCGGCCCTGGGACCACCAAAAATGGATACGGAACGAAACTCTACCCTTAGGGCATGTCCTCTTACAGGCGGATTTTGGAGGACGAATGAAGAAGTACATATATTATATATATATATATATATATATATATATATCTATATATAATATAATAATAACTCTAAAGGGCAAGAATAATCTACAAAATCGTTCCCAGACAATTTTCTGACTATGTCTGGATATTCCTCCTGTGTAGAGGGACGCGCCCGACGAAGCCCTACCCCCCGGGAAGCGCTTGGTACCTCCAGGGCCGCCAGTTGGCCAAAGCAGAGCGGCAGACGCCGGGGCAGAGATCCACCGCCCCCAGGGCCCGCCCCCCGGCTCGTGCACGGCCCACTGACTTCGCCGGGAGGGAGGCATACACAGTGATCCTGGTCTTCCTCCTCCTCCTCCTCCTCTTCCTCCTCCTCCTCCTCCTCCTCCTCCTGGCCAGGGGCGGTGGATTACGTATAGATCCCGTCGCCCAAAAACGAGGCGGGGGGAGTATCGAGGGGAGGGGTGCGCAGAGAACAGACAACCCACCCCTGCAGTAGTCACCCCAACACGCGAAGCCGTTCAGCGAACGCACCCAGAGAAGGAATCGGACAGGGCAGGGCCGTTTGGTAAACGCCCAGGGCCGCTTAGTAAACGCCGAGTATCGGGTCCGGGTGGTTTTTCCTCCCTTGAGTTAGCAAAGTAGCTGGCTCTCCCGGGGCCTCCCTGACGCCGACGCGGTTGCCGAGGAATGCGGACCGACGCCACTCTCGAATCAATCAGCTGCGCGCAGCAGTTTGGTGTTACCCTCCATCTCCCTGGCCGCCCCCCCTTCTGTCCGACCCGACTGGTGAGCCGCTCCCTCGCCCCGTCTGTCAGCGCGGCGCGGGCCCATCACACGTAGTCGTTCCTGTCGGTGTGCATGATGTAATGCAGCTTGCGCGTCTTCCAGAGCCGCCTCATGGACTTCACGGACAGCACCCGCATCGCCTCCGAACCGTCGCTTGCACACCTGAAATAATTCGAAGGGCTGTCCCTCCACCTCATCTTCCGGAACCCGGGTTCCATGAACGCGTTCATGGCCACGCGGCCGCTGCGCCGGCTCACCACCTTGTGAAACGCGTAGCTCGGGATGGCCACGCCCTCACCCTCGCGCAACATGATGAGTCGGAAGCCGCCGGCCACCAACCCTGGCGAGGTCAATCGTGGGCCGTGAACCAGTACGTCTGCGCCCTCCAAGCCAGGGCCCAGAGTCAAGAATTTCAGACATTGGCACACATCTAACCTTCCGGTGGCGCGCGCAGGGTTCTTGGATCGGTGCTGGGTCCCCTCCCTGGCGCGCGGTCCACGAAATTCGAGCGGACTTCCGAATATTTATATCATGGGTATGCCGACGCGTCCTCTTCGGAAGAGGTTCTACATACAGACAGGCCCAGGAGTGAGGGGCAAGGATCGGGGGCACACATTGTTTTGGAACCGGCGATGAATCGCCGACGCATCGGCGACGTCGCGAAACCGCACGCTCCTGGGCGGGGAAGTTCATCAAGAGGCCCCCCTGCTGGAGGTGCGCGGGTGCTGGGCGATTGGGGATTGGGGGTCGACGCCTCCCCCCCCCCTGAGCCTGGCCCCTCCCAATCGCTGCCCCTGAAAGGGTCCAGAAAAGCAGCAGGGTGAGCGCTGGATGCGAAGGGAAGGGAGCTGCCAACGTGCCAACACGAGGCCGCCATGGCATGGACCTGACCAGCCGGCCGTGGAACTGCCGCCTCAGGGCCAGGAGGAGGAGGGGGAGGAGGATGATGATGATGATGATGAGGAGGAGGAGGAGGAGGAGGAGGAGGAGGAGGAGGACGAGGAGGAGAGGAGGAGGAGGACGAGGAGGACGAGGGAGGAGGACGAGGAGGAGGAGGGAGGAGGACGAGAGGACGAGGAGGACGAGGAGCAGGCGGAGGGGGAGGCGGAAGCGGAGGCGGAGGCGGAGGCGGAGGAGGAGGAGGAGGGGAGGGGAGGGAGGGAGGGAGGGAGGGAGGGAGGGAGGGAGGGAGGGAGGAGGAGGAGGAGGAGGAGGAGGAGGAGGAGAGGAGGAGGAGGAAGAGGAGGAGGGAGGAGGACGATGAGGAAGAATGAACTAGGTCCACTCTCGGGCATACAAGTTGTTGCTGAAGGCGCGGTCCCAATGGGTCCCGACCCTTCCCCGGGTCCAACTCCTCTCTCCCGAATCCATATCTGATTGCCCATGCGCTTAGGTCGGGCATGTTTTTCCTCATGCTGATCTTGGAAGGAACAGAATCCAAAAGCCTAGGCTGTTTTTTTTCATATTGAAGCATTATTGAAAACTCTTCCTGTGGAGGCGCACGCCCGGCTTACCCCTGCGCCCGAAAGCGGGCTCTCGAAGCCCAAATCGAGGAACACCGCCCAGGTCGGAAAAAAACAGGTCCTCGAAGATCTGGGCATCCCCCTCTGATCGTTGCTCTCGGGATGGCGGTCGCACAGCGGGCTGGAGGGATGCGTCGAGACCCCACAGGGAACCTGATGGAACATAGCTCGCAAGCCAGGGGTACATGGAGGCCAGTCCACTTCCACATGAGACCCAACCCTCAGACCCAAGGACGTCCACTGATGTTTGGCGTGGGAACGCCACGCCTTCCATCGCAGAACCATCAAAACGCAAGAAACCCAGGGCACCCTGGAGGCAAGCAGGTTGTTTCTTGGCATGGGCCCCCACTGTACTCTGGCGGCGCGCACAAGGGGGCGGAGGGAAGGGGACGGGCTTCTTAGAGGGAGGCTGCTTGTTGGAAGATCCTGGCAGTGCATCCGTAGATCGGGCCCGCGCCTTCGAAGCAGGGGTGCTTCTGAGAAGCCCTTCCCCCTCCCCCCACCCCCCCTTCTGCGCGTGGCTGCGTACTGCATGCCGCTCGCCCGCAGCACGGCCGCCCCACGCCCCCGCGCCTGGCACAGCCTCCTCCTCCTCCTCCTCCTCCTCCTCCTCCCTCCCTCCCTCCCTCCCTACCCCTCCCTCCCTCCCCCCCCTCCCTCCCTCCCTCCCCTCCGCCCTCCGCCCTCCGCCCTCCGGCAGGTGCGCGCCGCCCGGGGGCCGAGGGGCGCGCCCGTGGGCCCCCGTGGCCCGGTGCCGGCGCGGGGCCTATGGCCAGGGCCTGGCTGGGGGGCGGCGGCCTCCGACGGGCTGTGGAAGTGGGGCACGCGCGCGGTGCCCCGAGGCAGCGGCCTCCTGTGGTGGGCCCCTGCGTTCCACCGCCACCACCAGGAGCAGGAGGGGAAGGGGCTCCTCCTCCTCCTCCTCCTCCTCCTCCTCCTCCTCCTCCTCCACCACCCTCTTCCCCCCTCCAGCTTGTGGTGGCGGTGGTGGAAGACAGGCCCGTCATCCTGTCCGCCGTCCTGCTCAGCCATTCTCTCACGACGACCTTGTTGGGGAGCCTCCAGGTCTCGAAGCTGCAATTGGCGGGGAACACGACGATGTCCGCCTCTTGGCGCGAAGCAAGCGTTAGGAGGCAACTCCTCCCGCAGCCTCGTCTCTATCAAGGGGGGTATAAAGAAGAACATGTGCAGTAAAATCCGGCCGAGTGTGACCAAGACCAGCGCCCAACAATTTCCGACCGCGTCCGAGTGAAACCGAAATGCTTGGTTCGAGGCCAATGCGATGTTCGGTTCCGGTCGCCCTGTCGGTCGCACTGCGGTCTCGGTTATTATCTCGGGCCGCGCTTTCGGACACGCGTGTGCCTGTTCGATCACACGCCTTTTTCATCGAAACGATTGGGGCCTGGCACCGTGAGCCTTCTGGAGTTCTTCGTGGAGAGCGATCACGGGCAATCCGGCCCGATTGAGGGGCCGCACGGGTACAGTGAAAACGTATAGTAAGGACGCGTGGTAAGGACGCAAGACCCTTGGAGGCCGAAGTTGAAGTATTCTGGCCTGCGAAAAACTGCGAGGGACGGGCCGCGGAGGCTGAGGCAGGCAAGGACCCAAGGGCACCCCTGAAAAAGTCGTTCGTCCTTACTATGCGCGTTGACTGTAAGCAAAAGCCCGAAGAGCAGCGCGCGCTGGCGCGCGGGAGCGCGCGGCGCCCGTGCGCCAGACCACAGCGCGGGGGGCGCTTTTGCGCGAGCCGCCCTCTGGCCGCGCACGACCCCAGGAGGCGTCGCATAGGAGCTGCCCGGGCGCCGCGCGCGGGCCTGCGGCACTCGGCCTGGCCTGAGGAACGATCAGTCAAGAAAGAAGCTCCTCTTTTCCCAAGGGAGTCTAGGAAGTCCGAAGGAACACCGGAGGGGGGCCCGCCGCCAAAAAGGTCGCGGAACGCCTGCAAGCCAAGGGAGCGACCGAGCCCATTCTGAAAAGTAAGTGATCCTGTTGCAAGCCGGACCCTTTAGGAAGCGCTGCCTGGGAGCTGCGCGCGACCTCGGGAAACGCTGCCCAAGAGTCGCCTCGGCGCTGCCCGCGGGCAGTGGCAATGTGGCCTGGGAACTACCTCGGTCCTGCCCTTGGAAACGCTGCCTAGAAGAGAACTCGGAGCTACGCGCGAGCTTGGGGAGCGCTGCTTGAGAGCCACCTGGGAGCTGCGCGCGAGCTTACGAAGCGCTGCGCAGGAGCTGCGCAAACGCATGCGGCCCACGTCTTGGAAGCGAATGGAAAAGCGCTTGCGGGACAAGCTGCGAACTCCAACAACTCGCTGCGAGGATGCCTGCCCGGCAAACGTGGCAGAAAAGCTGGCCCAGCCCAGCCCGCCGGCTTCTTCTCTAACACCCGTCAATTCGGGGGTCTTCTGGCCCAGGTCAATCCAGACCCGGGTCAGTCAGGCCTTGCCAAACCCTGCAAGATCCTGCAAGATCCTGCACTCAAGCCCGGGTCAACGCGAAGGATCCTGCAAGATTCTGCAGGACCCTGCACTCAAGCCCGGGTCGGTGCGACCCTGGCCTCTGCAAGATCGGGCGCCCTGACTGACGCCCGTCTGCATGGGCCCCCGCCTCAAGCCCCCCGGTCAGCTCCTTCAAAGAACTATCCGGGAACTGAGCCAGTCGGCAGGATTGAAGAATCGGGGATGGACAGACCCCCCTTTAGTAAAACGTGGTTTAGTGAAAACGACCTGAGGCCCAAACCTGGCGGGCGCAAGCCTGGAAAATAACGGCCACGGCGCCCTCTCGAGAACCGAAAACGGACAATTCACTAATCGACATGTCACTGTTGGGAGTTCTGTCCACCCCCGAAAGAAGGGACTGCGCTGAGGCACGCGAGAATAACCCGGTGTTGAAGTAGAGGTTCTTTTCCCTCGCGAGCGCGCCAAAGGCCCAAGGGGCCCCGTCCCGACGCGGCCAGAGAGGCCCCTGTAGGAGCCAAGCGGCGGCGGGGGCGAGGCAGGAGGGCATGCCAGAGCCTATCAACAGCAGCTGGGTCAAACTGGCTTTGTGCCGGCTTTCGACCACGGATACACCAACGCGGAGGCCGAATCGAATCTTCCGCGAGCTGCGTCCCAGCAAAAAAAAGTCCTCGCTCCGAGGGCCCTCCCCCCGAAAGGCAGCTCCCCGTCCCGAGCCGTGTTTTTGTGCCAGCCCTGGGGCCCGTGGAGGGCCCTAGGGGGGCCAGAGCTGCGAAGGATCTTGGGACGACCTCAACAGGGGATATGTCGACCCCTATCCCACGCTTCGTAGGGGGTTTCCGAATGGACCAACAGTTTCGGGCCCGTCCATCCTCGATAGGGGTGCGTCCGAAAAGCCCCCTGGAGGTATCCCAGGATTTCCCCCCCCCCCCCCTGCTCTTTCGCCACTTGATTTTTCGTCGAACGGTCAGGGGTTGGGATAGAAACATGGCCCGCGAGACCAGTTTCCCTCAGGACCCGTTTCCTTCCATGGGTCGTCTGGTTTTCGGGCCATGACGGGTCTCTGGCGGCCGTCCGGGACGATTCGGGCACCCGAGGCTCTCTGCTCGGCGCAGCTGGTGAAACTCACCCCGAGGTTGGAAAACATGATTACAGAAGCGCGCGACACTCCGAACCTCGATCCTGTGAACCTCGATCTCTCGTTCATTGGGAAAGAAACATGTACCCATAACACTACTCCCCGGACCTCTCTCCCGGTGCGTTCTGACCATAATTTTGAGGCGAATCCAGCGTTGGCGACGAGGGCCTCCCAGGAGTCCCCCCCAAAAAAACGAGCACGAGGCACATCCTCCTCTGTCCTTCCCCCCGCCCTGCTTCACGGCGAACCTCGCCGGTGAGCTGCATGATCACGTTGTCCTGCCAGTCCGCGTGCATACCTAGGGAGCCAAGAAGGCAACCATGTACATGAACACGGCCCCTCGATCAGCGAGACCAGCCGCGCGATCCGAATATTCGCGCAATACGTATTCGCGTAGGAGGGGGAGGAGGGGGAGGAGGAGGAGGAGGAGGAGGAGGAGGAGGAGGAGGAGGAGGAGGAGGAGGAGGAGGAGGAGGAGGAGGAGGAGGAGGAGGGGTGAGGAGGAGGAGGAGGAGGAGGAAGAGGAGGAGGAGGAGGAGGAGGAGGAGGAGGAGGAGGGGAGGAAGAGGAGGGAAGGAAGAGGAGGGAGAAGGGAGGAGGAAGGAGGGAGGAGGGCGGAAGAGGAAGAGGAGGAGGAAGAAGGAGGAAAGAAGGCGGATTCATGTACGTGTACGTCCTTCTTTCGCTCCCGGATACCACCCCCCTGCGCGCCCATCCACAGGAGGCTGTGCGTGGTCTCCACCTGCCCAGGAAAGAGCACGCCGCCCACGTCGAAGGAGAAGTTGGGCAGGCGGTTCATGCTCGGAGGAAGATACAGCGGCACAAACATCCGACTGGGCGACGAAAAGAAACGGGTCTTGCGATTATGTTGCTCCCATCGCACTCCAGGACCACATCCCAGAAATAATTTCGAGCACCCAGAAAAGCGTCGAGACAGTGTCGAACGAGTATCGCCTCCCGGGGCCCGACACGTGAAAACCCTCCCAGGCGGTTCATGCTCAGAAGAAGAAACAACGGCATAAACATCAACTGTCGGGGAGACGTTAAGAGTCGGGTACGGGGGACTCGGGTTGGCCCGACGAGGCCATCCTAAAAATGACGAAGCCCAAGCTGGAATTTGACGCGACCGCTGCTGACATCTCACGAAAACTGGACCGCAAGAATCCCGGGCGCGCTCGTCAAAAAAGGTCGGCAAACCCGAGCTCCAGCTTATTCGAGTCTCACGTTTGCCCGAAACTGGGCGACGAAAAGAAACGGGTCTTACGAGAGATGGCATCGCGACCCTACGCCGCAGCTTGCGCTGGCCGCTGGCGCGACGCCAAAAAAACACTGGCAGCGAAGGCCCCTGCGCGCGGCCTTGCGCGAGCGACCCACGGCAGGTTTGCGCGGCGTCGACGCGCGCAACGGTGTTTGACACCGCGTCGATCGTTCAACCTTGAATCGATCGCGGCCCCGATCGTTCCAGGTTGAATTCCGTCGGGTCCAACGGCGTTGCAATGTCCCTCGGTGCTTCCGCGTCGTGCTATCATGAGGCCTTCGGCCTTGAACGCCTCCGCCGGCGTCGCGGGCGCGCCGTCGCTGCACGAACCTGCCGTGCGCGCGAAGGTCGGCAACGGACCCCCCTTCCTTCCGTCGCTCAGCTGCCGAGGGCCCGCGCGGATTCCCTGCTCAGCGGCGCCGGGCCCCTCCGGCCGGCGCCTCCGACGCCGCCCCTGGCGCGCCCTCTGCGCGCCGGGCAGGGCCGCCCCCCTGGCGCGCTCTATGCGCACCCGGCAGGGGAGCCCAGCGCCGCTCCGAGGACAGGGTGCGCCGACCACCGAGCTCCAGAGGGTGCCCTGTGGCAGCCCGCGGGAGCCTCGCCGTGGCATCTTATACTGACTCCTGCGGGTCGGCGCTCGTCGGCGCGCGTCGACGCCAATCGACGCCAGATCGGTGCAAGTCGGCGCGACGTCGGCGCATGTCTAATCGACTGCCAGGCACGAGACGGCATGAGGATGCACTCCAGAGACGGCACGGCGAGGACATGCAGGGCGCCCATGAGCTGTTTGAAGGGGCCCTGGGACACACAAATAAATACACACAAATAAACATATTCCGTATATTTTCCCATATTTTCTGAGTTTCTGTCTTCCCCCCCCCACACTTCCCATATTTTCCTATATTTTTGGGTGGATCGACGATTACTTGTGTCTGTGTGCTTCTTTCCCTCCTGACTGTTATCGGCGGTGGACAAACCTCCCTTTAGTAAACCACCCTTTAAGGCACACTGCCTGGGGCCGAAACCGACGGACCTGGACCCGCAAGAATGACGGCCGCGGCGCCCTCTCACGAACCGAAAACGGCCGATTCGCTAATCGACGTGTCAGGGTAGGAGGTCTATCAACCTCCGATGTTGCCGAAGACCTGTATGTTTGCGCCGCTCTTTCTCCTTCGAATGTTGACGTTGGACACCCCGGCCATCTGGTTGTTCGGGCCCCTCCCCGCCCGTATCCTCTTCGCGACCTTCTGGGCCTCCGCCCTCCGGTCCGCGAAGTTGCTGTACGGCACCTCCTCGAGGTGGAAGCGCTCGGAGAGCCTCTCTCAAGGGGCCCAGGGTCGCACAAATAAACACACCCAAATCCCAGGATTCCCCATGCTTCCCCGTATTCTCCGGGATTTCGTCTCCCCCCCCTCACTTCCCATAGCCTCCCATGTTTTCCTGGGAGTCGCCGATTCAGTGTGTCTGTGTGATTCTTCCCCTCCTGACCCTCTTGCGGCACGTTCGGGAGCTCCCGAGCGAAGTGAACCCCACCCTCCCCCTCAGAAATCGTGGGGAGTAGGGGTAGGGTTCGCATGTAGCCCCCTAAGAAGATCGCCGGGGCTGAGAACACTGGGGTGACCCAGAAGGGGGTCCAGCTGGAGAGGGGGTGGTGCAGTAGGTTTGGGGCAACTGTGCTGCAAATGTACTGCGCCGGAGAAGTGCCTTGCATTGTATGGCAAGTAATGCATCGCACGCGAAAATACAGCAGTAAATCTGCGCCCCGAACTGTACTGCACGCCCCACATGTACTGCAACCCGACATATCTACTGCACCAAATCTGCTGCACCACACCCTCGTCGCTGGACCCCCTTTTGGGTCAACCCGAAAACACCATGCCGTCGGAGGAGGAGGAGGAGGAGGAGGCGGAGGAGGCGGAGGAGAAGGAGGAGGAGGAGGAGGAGGAGGAGGAGGCGGAAGAGGAGGAGGAGGAGGAGCAGGAGGAGGAGGAGGAGGAGGAGGCGGAGGAGGACGATCGCGGCGCTCCGACTGCGCGGGTCGCCCGACATCGGCTGGATTCGGGCGCACTGGCGGCCCCCGGCCTCGAGCGACCGTGCTGGAGCCGCCGCCGCGCGCATGCACAGAGGGAAGCAGAGGGGACCGGTGCAGCACTACTCCCACGGCATCTGCTGGGGCGCGTTCTGGCCATACCTTCGAGAAGAATGTAGCCGTGGTGCCGAGGAAGAGCACGGGGCCCATGGGCGACCGTGCTGGGGCCGCCGCCGCGCGCATGCACAGAAGGAAGCAGAGGGCACCGATGCAGCACTACTCCCACGACATCTGCTGGGGCGCGTTCTGGCCATGCCTTCGAGAAGAATGTGGCCGTGGCGCCGAGGAAGAGCACGGGGCCCATGGCTAAGACTGAGCGCAAAGCGTGGTGCCGCTCCTGGTCGCCGTCCATCTCAGCCGGCGTCCATGCGTGCAGATCCTCGCGAATGGGCAACGGTCAGCATGGACCATGGCCAAGATCGGAGATGCGGAAGCGGCACCGGTGCCTCCTCCTCCTCAGAAGAACTCGCTTCATGATTCGCGAGCACCCACCCCCGAGATCGGCCCCGCCCCGCTCCCCCTCCCCCCCTTTGGTCACGTCGCGATTCGCGCGGGCGCCGTCTCCACTCCTAGGCATTCCCAGACGGCGCCAGCACGATTCGTGACGTGACCGCCCCCTCCACCCCCCCCCTCGTCACGCCCGCGATGGCCAGAGGAGAACAAAAAAACACTCGAGGAATGAAGGGGCCCTGGGACACACAAACAAATAGACACAACTAACAGGATTCCCCAATATTTTCCAATGTTTCATTGGTTTAGTCTTCCCCCCCACACTCCCCATATTTCCCAGTATCTTCTGGGGAATCGACGATTGAGTGTGTCTGTGTTTTTTCCCCCTCCTGAGAGAAGCAGTGCCAAGCCTCCCGTACTCCCTCAGCGTCAGGGCCCTGGCGCCAGGGAAAGGGCACGCCAGCCGCAGCAGCGCCGGCACCACCAGGCGCCTGGCCAGCCTGGCCCGCAGCGAGCGCGGGCCCCACCGCGGGAAGCGGGTGGTGAAGAGGTTCAGCCACCTTCCGACAGCATCAAGTCGGGCCTGTCCTCCTACAGAGGGGTTTTGGACGAACAATAAAAAATGTTCAACTAATGCCCCCAAATAGTCAGCTAAATACTCAAAAAAACGTCCCCTGACTATTTTCTTTGACTATTTTTGAACATTCCCCCTAAAGAGGGATAGGCCCGACTTAACGGTAGCAGCTCGTGAGAGCCGAGAGCCTCCCGTGCCATCTTGCTGCCTCTTGCGAACCGACGCTCGTCGATGTTAAATCGGCGCTAGCCGATGCTAAAGCGACACTCATCGACGCGCCTCATCGACGCGCTTGTTCATCGATTACCGGACTCCAGCGCACGCTGATGCTCTCTGAAGACGGAATTTGCGGACATGCAAGGCTCCCATGATCTGTGCTGCAGTGCGGCCGCGGCCGCGAGGAACCCCCACCAGAAACCCAGCCCCGAGGACCCGCGTGAGAGGTGCGACCGGGGGGAGGCCCAGGGCGCCCTGAACGCAGCAGCTTCTCCAACGGCCGCGCGAAGTCACCGCACAGCGCGAGGAGCGAAGAAACCCAGGGTACCCTGACGCAAAGCACATGTACCGGACCATCCGGAGCGTCGGAGCGGGGGGTCTCACCTAGACCTCGGACCACAGGATGCGTTCGATGCGGGCGCTGTCTCTGGGGCCCGCGTTGAAGCCCCAGGGCCATTCAACATCGATCCCGGGCGAGAAGCTGGCCCCGAGGAAAGGGGCCGCAGATGGAAAACAAACCATCGTCGGATGTGTAAACAAGCGCGTTCCATGACTCGCAAAGTATCTACTCGCGAATGGCCTGGATCCATTGCTTCGAGGCAAACAGGCTCCACTGGATCCAACAACGCTGGTTTTCGATGACGCTTGCGAGTCGGCACCTTGCGAGTAGTGGAACGCGCTCGGTGAATGTATGGGCCATGGGTACTCCAGATTTCGTAATAAAGGGAGGGGGGTCTCATCTCGGGGGGGGGTCTCTTCCAGGCTATCTTGGAGGGCCTGGGGGGTCTGGGGACGATGTTTTGGAGGGTTCTCCCACGGGGGAGGTCTGAAATGGCTTGCCTTGGAGGGTCCAGACCCCCTCCCTTTCACTACGAAATCTGGGGCACTGAGGGAATGCGGTCGGGGCCACTGGCCTTTCGGGATTTCCGCGAGCATGCACGGCAGCGTTCCGCCGCGGCCTGCGCGGGCCGCCCGCGTGGCACACCGCGCGGAGACGAGGGGGCCTGCGCACGATCTCTCGCGGGTGGTCGCGCCGTCGACCCCGTGTTCTTCCGCCGCTCCGCTGGTGGTGGGCCTGTTTTCAACCACAACCACCACAAGTTGGAATGGGAGGGGGTCCTCCTCCTCCTCCTCCTCCTCCTCTTCTTCTTCTTCTTCTTCTTCTTCTTATTCTTCTTATGTTTCTTCTTGCTCTTCTTATTATTATTATTCTTCTTCTTCCTCTTCTTCCTCTTCTTCCTCTTCTTCCTCCTCCTCCTCCTTCCCCTCCCCCTCCTCCTCCTCCTCCTCCTCCTCCTCCTCCTCCTCCTCCTCCTCGTCCTCCTCGCTTGCTGTGGCCCTTCGGCAAGGCTAGCGGCCTACATGGCAGCAGGCTCGGGCCCGACCTGCCATGCCAGGAGAGCGCGCCGCCACCTAGAAGGTCTCGCGGAAGAGGGACATCGTGTCCGCCGTGGAGGGGTGCTGCGGCTGTCATTGCTGAGCCCGGCCCAGGCCCTACGGGGCAAGCAAGGCAGACGCGGGGCAGCTGGCCTACGAGCTCCACTACGTTTTTTTTTGTTGGTCAGCAATGGTGGTGGGTTGTTTTATCCATCAATGTGCGACGTTGTTGTCTCATTTGCTGGGTTCATGTTGCTGTCACGTTCATGTTCTCAGCTTCAGATTGGGCTGGTAATTTACGCTGCATACGTCAACGTTGCCAGTTTGATATTGCATGTGTGGTGGTGTCCTCAAGGACCAGAGCTCTTGTAGAGTGTATACGCAACGCTTGTGGTCATTCATTGCTTTGCTGCGCGCTCTCATCAGTTGTGTTTCTTGTTTTCGATTCGCTTTAGCAAATGCCGAATGGTCAGTTGACGGTCCCCGCACATAAGAGCACAATGCGTTCACATGTCGCGCAGAAGGCGCTGCACTGAGCGAGCAGGCACCCTTTCATCTGTCCTTGGGAGGGCACTCTAGACAGCAGAATACAACAGAATCCTCCTCCTCCTCCTCCTCCTCCTCCTCCTCCTCCTCCCCCTCCACACTTACTCAATATGAATACTACTCTCCCTCTTCCCCTGATGACGGCCTGGGAGTGTCCGACCCCCCGCGTACTGTTTTTGTACACACAGGTTTCCCCGGAGTTGGGTTTTCGCCTGCATTTGTTTCCGAAATGCTGCTCTCGCTGAGGCGCTGGCCTCATTTTCGGGCCCCGCTCGTTCCGAATCGTGCTCCCGCTGCAGCGCTGCCCTCATTTCCGTGCTTCCGCTCGTTCCGAATCGTGCTCCCGCTGCAGCGCTGGCCTCATTTCCGCGCTTCCGCTCGTTTCGACTCGTGCTCCCGCTGCAGCGCTGGCGTCATTTCCCGTGCCATGCCACGGCATGCAATGCAATGCTAGGTTGATACTACGCTTTGCGGTGCTCTTCTACGCCATGCCATGCCGTGCTCTACAATGCATCGCGTACACTTTCGGGATCATTGCCCTGCTCGACATCCGACTGTGCGAGTAGAGAGGGGATCTGCGCCATGGTAAGGGATGGGAGGGAGGGGTAGGATGTCAGATATGACGCGAGCGCACCTAGCTTGTTCTCCTCCCCCTCCCCCCCCCCTCCCCCTCCGCCTCCTCCTCCTCCTCCTCCTCCTCCTCCTCCTCCTCCTCCTCCTCCTCCTCTTCCTCCTCCTCCTTCCCCCCTCCAACGTATGGTGGCGGTGGAAAACAAGCACATCAGCTGGAGCGACGGAGCGGGAGGGGCTCTCACTCGGGGGCAGAGGTCAGGAGCGACTGGCTCCGGGTGGGAAGCGTCGACCTGCAATCCGGCGACACGTCGCCCAGAGGTCGGCGACGGGCCCCCGACGGCGAATCCACGCGCTCCTGGCTGGGCGAATCCACGCGCTCCTGGCGAATCCACGCGCTCCTGGCTGGGCGATTGGAGCTCGATGCCCCCCCCCCCCCTGAGCACATCCCTGTCGGCGCTCCCTGGTCTGCGGGCCGCGCCTCGGCTCTCGGGTGCCCGCCTGGCACGCTCCAAGCGCCCCGAGATGGACGGATTCCCCCGGGGCCGTAGGCGACCCGAGGAGGGGGAGGAGGAGGACGAGGAGGGGGAGGAGGAGGGGGAGGAGGGGGAGGAGAAGGAGGAGGAGGAGGAGGAGGAGGAGGAGGAGGAGGAGGAGGAGGAGGGGGGCGGAGAGGAGGAGGAGGAGGAGAAGGAGGCGGAGGAGGAGGAGGGGGAGGAGGGGGAGGAGGGCGAGGAGGAGGAGGAGGAGGACGGGAGGAGGAGGAGGAGAGGAGGAGGAGAGGAGGGAGGAGGAGGAGGAGGAGGAGAGGAGGAGGACGGGGAGGAGGAGGAGGAGGAGGAGGAGGAGGAGGAGGAGGAGGAGGAGGAGGGAGGAGGAGGAGGAGGAGGAAGGAGGAGGGGGAGGAGGAGGAGGAGGAGGAGGAGGAGGAGGAGGAGGAGGAGCAGGAAGGAGGAGGAGGCGGAGGAGGAGGAGGGGGAGGAGAGGAGGAGGAGGAGGAGGAGGAGGAGGAGGAGGGGGAGGGGAGGGGGAGGAGGAGGAGGAGGAGGAGGAGGAGGAGGAGGAGGAGGAGAGGAGGAGGAGGGGGAGGAGGAGGGGGAGGAGGAGGAGAGGGAGGAGGAGGAGGGGGAGGAGGACGGGTCGCCCAAGCCCTTCGGGGAAGCCCTCCACCCCGAAAAGGCTCGGACGCGGCTGGGCGGCTCGGCGTCGGGGGCGCCCTCGGAGCTGATGGAGATCCGGGCATCGCTGAGGTCGGGCATGTCCCCTACAAGTGGATTTAGGGCGAAACCTTTGTTGTTTCAAAAAAGTACCCAACAAATGCCCCCCAATAGCCAAACATTGCTCAACAAATCGTCGCCCGGACTAGTTTTGACTATTTTTGAATCTTCCGTCTGTAGAGGGACAGGCCCGACTTAAAAGCATCGCCAAGGTTGGAAAACGATTGACCACTTCCGACAACCGCACACCCGCCATGAGCCGCTCCCCCCCCCCTAGAGCGTTACCCCCGAACTGCGCGGGAAAGGATGCGGCGGCCTCCTCCCGCGCTGGACTGTGCGCGGGAAGCCCGCGCGGCACACCGCGCGGAAGATGGGGAAACCAAAATAGAAGGGGGAAGCCGAATAAGCATAGACTTTTGGCGCTCCGCGCGGATTTCTTGGATCCGCGCCTGGGCCCCCCAGCGGCGCCTCCGGCGCCGCCCCTGGCGCTGATCTAGGAAATCCGCGCGGAGCGCCAACAGTTTACTTGTGCGCCGTTGTTTGTCTTTCGCAGTCAGCGCGGCCGTCGGCGCCGCCTTCGGCGCAGCGGTCATCGCGGCGATCTGTCCCGCGCCGACCGGCGAAACAATGAACACGATCACAAAAAAACAGCCAGCCTTAGGTCTGGCATGTCCTCCTATAGGCGGATTTCGGAGGAACATTAAAACATAGTCACAAGAAAAAAAACTCAAATATGGAAAATCGTCCCCATACTATTTTTGCCTGTGTTTGCATACTCCTTCTGTAGGTTCCTCGGTGCGCGCGTCGTCCCCTGGGGGGGGGGGGGGGGGGGGGGGGGCGCACATCTAGTAGAAGTATGCTGAGGTGACGCCGGTGATGGGCCTCTTTCCACCGCCACCACCACCATAAGCTGGAGGGTGGAAGGAGGTGGAGGAGGAGGAGGCGGAGGAGGAGAAGGAGGAGGAGGTAGAGGAGGAAGAGGAGGAGGAGGAGGAGGAAGAGGAGTACCCCCTCCCCCTCCAACTTATGCTGGTGGTGGTGGACAACAGGCCCATCAGCCGAAGCCAAGCCCGTGCGGTTGGCCCCGCCCCTCCGCCGCCACCTGGAGCACCGGGCGCCGCCCCCCGTCCTGCTCAGGCCGTCGCCCTCCCAGACCGGGACCTCGTCCGCCCCCTCCGGGTGCAGGGCCGCGATGTCCGCGAGGGTGACGTTGAACATGCGAAGAAGGAGAGACAGCGGCAAGAAGACCAGAGGGCAGAGAGGTCCACCCCGATGAGAACCGCCCCGACACGCGAGGCTGTTCCGTAAACGCACCCAGAGAAACCACCAGACAAGGCAGGGCTGCTCGGTGCACGCCCAGGGCCGTCTAGTAGCCGCCAATTGTCGGGTCGGGGTGTTTGCTTTTTCCTCCCTTGAACTCTGTAGCACCCCGCAATTGCGGTTAAGAGTGAGGGGGCGGGCGCGAGGGCCGCGGGTGGGTCGCGGGTGGGTCGCGGGTGGGTCGCGGGCGGGTCGCGGGCGGGTCGCGGGTGGGTCGCGGGCGGGTCGCTCCCTCCGGCCTGCGAGCCACAGCCCCTGACACAGACCGAAGGGGAACGGAACCAACAAAAACCTCTGATGGCCGCGCCTGGCCGCCTTCTCGGGAGGGCGCGTGCGAGGCGACGACGCTGCACTGCAGAGAGGAACTGGTGGAGGAGGAGGAGGAGGAGGAGGAGGAGGAGAAGGAGGAGGATGAGGTGGATGATGAGGATGAGGAGGAGCTCAGGAGGAGGAGGAGGAGAGGAGAGGAGAAACAGCGGCACAGATCTTCAGAGCTCTCGGAGCTCCGCGGGCACCCCCTCTGGCGCGCGGAGCGCGCCAGGGGCGGCGGCGGAGGCGGAGGCGCCGCCAGGGGGTCCAGCGCCGATGTGTATATGGACGCCCTCTTGCCCCCACGGCGCAGCAGCCGCCGCAGGCCCTGCCGGCGGGGCCGGCCGCGCCACGCGCTCCGGGTGTGACCCGTCTCCCGGAGCGGCCCTCGCTCCTCCGGCCCCTCCTTCGGCCGCCCTTCCCTATCTTTTTGAATTGTCGCTGCACCGTGGCGCAATTCGCTACCGCGGTGCCCCCGTTTAGTTCCTTCCGCCAGCGCAGTTACTCTGCCTGGCCGCCGACGCAAACCAGGTGTGTGCAGAACCAAGAGCTGAGCGCGGAGCTCCAAAGCTTGATGTGGATGCCTACCCAGGAATTACGTGCGGAGCCCCGAACATCTTTGCGAATGCCGATGCAAGAACGTCAATTAATTCCGAGCAGAGCTCCGAAAACTTCTGCGCGCGCGAATTCAAAAAGAAAGCCGCCCGGAGCTTGCAGAGGTTATGTTGGCGGAGCGCACAAGGGGGTCGAGGGAGGGGGGAAGGCTGCTTGGAAGGAGGCTGCTTGGGCGCCGACCCTGCATCTACAGACCAGGCCCGCGCCTCCTGAGAAGCAGCCTCCATTCAAGAAGCAGTCCCCCCTCCTCCCAAGTAACCCCCCCTGTGCGCGTGGCTGATACTTGTGCCCGTGCCGCGCTGTTTCTCCTTCGGGATGCGGGCGGGCAGGAGCTCACGCGCGTCGAACTTCGTGACCTCCCCGCGCATCAGCGCCGAGGGTACCTCGGCGATGGGCACTGTGCGCTCCTCTCGAGTAGGGGATCGACTACAGAATTGATCCACCCCAAACTGGATCCACCCCAAACTTGATTGGGGCGTTCGTATATCTACGAAGTTTCGACGCACTGTTTCGTAGATCAGACGAGCAACATATTTTGGGGTGACTCTAGAAGAATAACAAAAACATACACAGAAACTTTTGGCGCTCCGCGTGGATTTCTTGGATCTGCGCCGGACACCCCTCCCTGGCGCGCTCCGTGCGCCAGAGACAGCGCGGGAGGCGCCGCCAGGGGGGGGAGTCCAGCGCGGCTCCAAGAAATCCGCGCGGAGCGCCAACAGTTTATGTATATGGCGCTTGTCTTCTCCGAATTATGTAGTCTTAGGTCGGGCCTGTCCCCCTACATGCAGATTTTGAACGAAAAATTAAAAGTACACCATAAATGCTAAGCGAATAATCAAAAAATGCCCCCAGGCTATGTTTTGACTATTTTTGAACATCTCTACTGTCGATGGACAGGCCCGACTTAAACTTACGTAGTCGATCCCCTGCTCGATCCTAGATTTCGGTGTTGGTGGCAGTATTTCGGCCACCTCGGAAGCCAAAGTGCTGCCACAATCACCGAGATCGGGATCTCCTCCCCCCGGTAGATGCACACCGCCGATGTTGGTGTTGGTGCCAGTCTCTGGGCATGCGACCCTGCTGAATCCTTCAGGGGCGCGAAGCCCGCCTCCAGGTAGCTGGCGTGGTCCGCGGGGTGCTCCTCTTGGGCTGCTCTGCGGGAGCCGCCCGCTCACGGGTGCGAGTCCCAGGACTTACGTGAAGACAACAACCTCTGGGGCCCAGAATAATATATATATATATATATATATATATAGATTTATAATACACATTTATAAACATATGTATGTATACACACATATATATATATGTACACATGCCTATACTTATGTATATCTATACGTATATACCTCTCTCTCTATATATATATATATGTCTACACACATGCCTACAGTCGGACTTGAGTGGAGAGGACACGCGAGAGGGCACAAGACCCTTCCGGGGGGCACGTTGCCACAGAAATGCAGGAGGCATGGGTCGCAAGACACAGGACACGCGGGTACCCTTGATCTGGCAAGGTCGACCTACTGATCCGGGCCGCCTGTATACTTATATATATATACAATTATATTTACATATATGGATTCACATCCGCACAACACACACACACATCTATATATATATATATATATATATATATATATCAGTAGTCAAAAGACTGCATTGGCGCTTCGCGCCATGCACCTTGGTCCTCGAGGCGTTGCACCTGTCGGTCGTTCGCGCCATCCTTGGTGGCCTTGGAAATCTGGCCCCTTCCCTGCGGTGGTTTTCAGAGGTCTTCGAAAATACGGGCGGTCCCTGGCCCTTCCCGGGCCTCTGGGGGCTCCCGAAAGGCGCCGGGTGGAGGGCGAAGGATAGGAGGGAGGGAATCTCACGGACCGAGTAAAGGAAACGGATGTGGGGGAGGTCGAGTGGTGGAGCGGCAGAAAGAGGAGGAGGAGAAGGAGGAGGAGGGCGCCGTCGGGGGACGGCGAAGAATGTTGCAGCGGGTTGCAGCGGGTCGCAACGGGGCACGCGAACGCAAGCAAATCTTAGGAAATGCACCCAATCCCGATTCGCAACAAATTTCCAGGATTTGTGGTTGCGAGCCCAAATAATTCGTACGGGATGCGCAAATAATTCATAAGGGATGCACCCAACCCCAGATTCGCAACAGATTCCAGGATGTGTGGTTGCGAGCCCAGGATTCGAATATTTTGTGGTGGAAAACGTCGTGTGGGCCTTGTTGTAGTCCTGGTGGGCTGGCTTGGGGCCGTCTCAAGCCATCATCTTGGGGCCATCTTGGGCCGTGTTGGGGAGCTTAGGCCTACGTAGGCCCTCCTGTTGGCCTCCCATGGCCTTTTGGGGGGCCTACCATGGTCTTCTTGGGCTTCTCTTGGAGGCCTTCTGAAGGCCTGTTGGGTTTCTTTCTCGCTCATTTAGGGCTTCCTGGGGCAGTCTTGGGGCCGTCCAGCCCGTCTAGAGGCTCTCTTGGGGGTCTCTTCGGCCGCCTTGGGTCGATACTGGAGGCCTTTTTGGTTTTTTGGACGCTGCCAAGACCCGAACAGCGAATGTGCTGAAAACGCACGATTCCCTGATGGAATGATGCGATGTGTGCGTTCTGGGATTCCTGTTGAGGGCCTCCTGGGCCGTCTTGGGGGCCTTTGGAGGCTAATTACATGGGTCCTTGGAGCGCTCTTGTGCTGTCGTGGGTCTCTCTTCAGCCTCTCTGATCACCACTCTGATCGCTTCGGGGCCTATTGAGCGCCTGTTGGGCCTATTTTGGGCTCATGTGTGGCTTCCTTGGGCAGTCTTGGGGCCATCCAGGCCGTCTGGAGGCTTCTGGGGGTCCCTCGGGCCATGTTGAGGGCCTCCTGGGCTGTGTTTGGAGCCTCTGGAGGCGATATGGATCCTTCTTGGAGCGGCCTTGTGCTGTCTTGGGTCTCTCTTCGGCCTCTCTGATCACCGCCCTGATCGCTTCGGGGCCTTGTGAGGGCCTGTTTGGCCTCTTTTTGGTTCAGTTGGGGCTTCCTTGGGCAGTCTTGGGGCCGTCCAGGCCGTCTAGAGGCTCTCTAAGGGGTCTTTTAAGCCGTCTTGGAGCGATACTGGAGGCCTTCTTGGCTGTTTTGGACGCTGTCAAGACCCGAACAGCGAATATGCTGAAAATGAACATTTCCAAAGGGAATGAAGCGATGTTTGCGTTCTGGGAGTCCTGTTGAGGGCCTCCTGGGCCGTCTTGGGGGCCCCTAGAGCCCATCTGGATCCTTCTTGAAGCGATCTTGTGCTGTCGTGGGTCTCTCTTCGGCCTCTCTGATCACCACTCTGATCGCTTGGGGCCTGCTGGCAGGACCCGGCTGAGCGCCTTAGGAGGTACGGGACGAGCCGGGGCATGTCTGGGGGGCCCGGAAAACCCCGATCCTGGGGGTCTCTTTGTGTGGGGGGGGGGGAGGGGTAGGGGGTTGTCCCACCCCCCAACTTGTAACTGTAGATTAATTTGTATATATATATATGATTGTAGATATGTGTATATATAATGCATATGTCTATGTGTATGTATGTATGTCTGTCTGTCTGTCTGCCTGTATGCATGCATGCATGATGTATGTATGTATGTATGTATGTATGCAGGTATGTGTGTATGTGTACGTACGTACGTATGTATGTATGTATGTATGTGTATGTATGTATGTATGTATGTATGTATGTATGTATGTAGGTATGTATTTATGTACGTGTCTCTGTATGCATGCATGTATGTATGTATATATGTATGTATGCATTTATATATGTATGCATGTATGTATGTATGTATGCATGTATGTATATATGTATGTGTATGTGTGTATGTGTGTATGTATGTATGTATGTATGTATGTATGTATGTATGTATGTATGTATGTATATATATGTTTGATGTTTGTTTGTTTGTATGTATGTATGTATACATACATACATACGTACGTACATACATGCATACATACACACATACATACAATTATAGACAAATGTGCGGCCCAGGATCGCCAAAGTCGAGTCTCCCAACGCTACGCGAATCATAGCAGGCAACAGCAAGCTGAAACGCCGGCTGGGCTCGCAATGCCGAGGGGAAGCAATAATAAACCTCTTGCCGCAGGGAGCGCCCTTCACCCCCTGCGGGGGAGGACGGGGGAAAGCGTCCTCCCTGCATGATCCCGGAGCCAGCACTGGCGCGGCCAAGCGGTGATCCAGTGAAACATCGGGCAGGCACGATGAAACACATAGCTGTCTCACGGGGGAGTCGCTGGCTGCGGCCCGGCGGCCCCGACGGCGACGGACCGGGCAGATCTTCTCCAGGGGCGCGCAAGTATGGATCTGACAGGCCCAGAGGTTGACACCAACGCCCATATCGGCGGTGTGCCTCCACCGAGGCAGAAGATTCCGATCTCGGTGATGGTGGTAATACTCTGGCTTCCAAGGTGACCGAAATGTTACCACCAACTTCGAAATCTAGGATCATCCTCCCCCTGTGGAGCCTGTGGAGGCAACCCCCAGTGTTGGTGTTGGTGCCCAGTTCCAGGCCTCCGAGGATTAGCCATCGAGGGATGTGGCGCTTGGTCGCCAAATCCATGGATCGGGGGAAGTGCCCTCCCAAAAATGCGACCGGTGCCGCCTCGCTCGGCGGCGGAACTTCGCGATTGCCTATGGAAACGGAACCCGTCGCTAATCCACGCCCCGTTCATCCATGTTTGCGATCGCCTGACTCCTGGTCCCGAACGGAAAACGCAAGAGAGGCAGACCCCGACAGACTTGGGCCGCGGAGGTGAGCAGGTGTGCAAAGCTATTTTGCGAATCTGCACTGACACCGTTTGAAATCCTGCGTTCGCTGCCAGGCGACAAATGGCAGGTGGTGGCAGTGCTGAAAGACGCCGTTGGTTGATTTCCCTCCCCATCCTCCTCCTCCTCCTTCTCCTCCTGCTCCACCTCTTCGAATAGTAATGTGAACCAGAAAACGTAGTAATGTGAACCAGAGGGCCACTGGCAGGCGAGGTGAAGCCAAGCACCCGCCGACCGCTGCCATGCCCTTATTGCTCCTGTGCCTGCTGGACACACGGCACCTTCTTCTTCTTCTTCCTCTTCTTCTTCTTCTTCTGTTTCTTCTTAGTCGTATTGTTACTACTACTCGTATTATTATGTTTCGTCTTCTTCTTCGCCTTTTTCTCCACGTGGCCGGTCCTCGCGGAGCTCCTCCCAGGTCTTGGGGCGCAGCCCCCCGGCGCACGCCTCTGGCGTCGACGAGGGTAGCGCCCGGGGGGACCGCGCCTCCGGGCACGAGATCACCTTCGGGCGCACGCGAGAGCGAAGGGGTCTGGGGGGGACTCCTCCTCCTCCTCCTCCTCCTCCTCCTCCTCCTCCTCCTCCACCTGCTCCTCCCCTACTGGAATTTTCCGTGGGTGCCTGGGTCTTGGATCCGAGTCTCGTCCTGTCCTGGCTTTCGGGGGCTCCAGCGGAGGCGATGACTCCGCCAACACGAGATTTCGTCGTGTCGGAGTGGGTCTTGCGCAATTCAACGGCGAACATAACACGGGGATCATCCGCAAAGTCTGCGGCATCAACAGTCTGTCCCACGCGGAGAGCTGTTCATGCTCTTATGTGCCCTCCGATGAGCGTCTGATATCGTCACCTACATTACCGACAATCAGGCAGATTACGACGGATGGCACAATCGCCATGACGTGTCCCTCAGCCGAAAGTGGTTTGATCATGTAGTCTCGTGAAATGGGACGTGTTGTGCGATTCAGTCACAGTCATTTGAGTGCCGAAAATGTGGTCGGTGGTAAGGGGATGTCTTTGTTGGTCCGTCGTAACCACGCAGCCGCCATATTGGCTTAGTTTTCGGCCACTCAACACAAGCTACCGCTCAGCATCCGCACCCTCATTTCCAGGCCCTGGAGCACCAGATGAATTGGACTCGCATGCGTATCTTGCGATCTACGCTCGATGCTGACCGCCAAAGAAAAAATGGCGAATGAACGTGAGTCGGCTGCCAATAGAGGCTGTAGGCACCGAGGGAGGGGCCGGAGAACTCTTCTGGGCCCTTCCGTGGGGGAGAGCGCCGTGTTGCAGGAGCCGTCCTCTCTCCCGCTCCCGCGCCCCCCCGGCTCCCGTGCCGCCGTCGCCCGCCAGTGCTTCCTCTTCCCGGTTCCGACCATGCCTTCGACAACTCGGGGCGTCGGTGCCGCCGCGGTGGTGGCTCCGCATCGGTTTCCCTGGCCCGTGCCCAGATGAGTGCGGAGTGCTGCAAAGTCAGTGTCCCTCGATGGCTCCGTGAAGAGGACTTCCCAAAAGGGTGCGAGGATACACATACTGCTGGGGGGTGGAGCCACCCCGCCCACAGAATGCGGCTGCGCCGGAACAGAGACATCTGGTTCTCCGCGTCTTGTGAAGCGTACGGGGGGAAGCAGTTGTTGAGACGTGCCCCAATGTGGTGACCCCCCCTCGTGCTGAGTGTCTGAAGCGTTTCGGGCGGGGATGCTCCCCACGGCTTACAGCAGCCGAGCTCGATCGCAAGGCCACGGCCCACAAGGGGCCTTCCTGAGGTTTGTTTGTAATTCGTCCTGGGGCTTTTGACTCCTGACTCCTCCTACTCCTCCTCTTCCTCTTACTCCTCATCTTCCTCCTCCTTCTCCTCCTCCTCCTCCTGCTCCTCCTCCTCATTTGTTGGTGGGCACTACGTTGGGCTCTGGTTCCCGGTGCCAAAAACCAACTTAGCTCAGCGATGAGCAGCGGTATGTGAATCGGGCGGCAGGCCCCTTCTCCTCATCGTCCTCGAACTCGTCCTCTTCCTCGTCCTCGTTCACGTCGTCGTCGTCGTCGTCCTCCTCCTCCTCCTCCTCCTCCTCCTGGGGGGGGCAACGGACGGGGGGGTGGGGCGATCAAGAGCTGCAGGTGTGCGGCCCTCAAGCAAGGGCCCCTGCCATTTCTCCAATGCCTGCCAGGAAGACTCCCAGCCCCTTGGGGAGGGGGACGAGGAGGGGAGGAAGAGGGATCTTTTGTTGGGAGGGCTCAACGCCCTGGCGCCTCCAGAGGAGGAGGATGGAGGAGGGAGGGAGGATGATAGAGGATGAGGAGGAAGCACGGGGAGGAGGAGAAGGGAGGATGAGGGGAGAGGAGGATGGGGAGAGTATGAGAAGAATGAGGAGGATGGGGAGGGGAGAGGAGGAGGGGAGAGAAGGAGAGGAGGAGGGAGAACGGGGAGGCAGAGAAGGGAGGACAAGGGGGACGAGGATCGAGCCCAAGACGACTCGTGACTGCATCAGAGCTTCCTGCGTCCCCCAACCTCAGGACCCATTTTCGGCCAACAGCTCGGGTCCCCGGCGGCCGCTCGGGACGATCTGGGACCCCCCTGAATTTTCTCTGCGAAGCGCAGCTGCTTGAGAGCATCCCGAGGCTGGAAAAGCGCCAGAAAGTTGCGAAAACGCATCCAAACCATGAACATCGACCCTCCGAACCTCAATCCCTTGACACTATCTGCTCAGATCCCATCTGGGAGGCCTCCCGTTGCCGCATCGCCCTCTCTTCCTCCCTTTGAGCTCCCCGCCCAGGGGCGCGAAGTTAACTGCGCCGCGCGACTCTCCCGAGGTCTGGGTCAAGGGCATTTCGCCCGCAGACCCTGCTAGCTAGTGGAGGAGCACTTTTCACCGCCATCCTCTCCCCGTCCCCCTGACTCTCCTGTTGTTTTTGGCCAGTCGTTCTAGAGGGAGAAGCACAAAGCACAAACATACACTTTCGGAGCTCCACGCAGACAGTTGGATCTCTGCTAGACGCTAGGCCCCCCTCCCTGGGGCGCGGAGCGCGCGGGCCCAGCCTATCCAAGGAATCCACGCGGACCTTCGAAGGGTATGTTTGCACAGTTTGTTGTTCTTCGATCGTGCAACCCTGGAGCCTCCCCCAGGGTCCGAAACCCCGCACCCATAGCCAGTCCTCCTCCCTCCGACTCCCGCAATGATCGGGTCGGGCGAAAGGGGGGGATAGCAAAGGGGGGGTTTGAGAATCAGCTCGCGTAGCTGATTTTCCTGGCGCCTCCCGGCGCCGGGAGGCGACTGTGTATCGAGGAATGGGCCCCTCGGAGGGGCCGAAACCAGCTGCATGCAGCAAATTTCTTACCACCCCCCCTTTCCCAATCCCCCCCTTTCGTCCGGCCCGAAATCAGGATGAGTGTGTGTGTGTGTGTGTTCGCTTGTCATAACACTGCGCCGCAAAGATGGTGTGCAACACCGATCTCCGAAAAGCACGCTACCATCTGAGGCGATCCCCCGCGAAAACGCCTTCCGTGCACGCCATCTCCCTGCCAATGCTGCTTCGGTGCACGCTGACCCCAAGGTGGGGGGCAGCGTGCAATGATCGGGCTGGCTGCGCCACATCGCACGCTATACCTTCCCAACGCCAGCCATATTCTCGCGGCGCCCACAGGGGGGTAGGCGGAGGGGGGGAAGGCTTCTTGGAAGGAGGCCGCTTCTTAGAATGCGCGCGCCCTTCCATATGCAGATAAAGGCCTGCACCTTCTAAGAAGCAGGGGTGCTTCTAAGAAGCCTTCCCCACTCCTCCTCCTCCTCCTCCTCCTCCTCCTCCTCCTCCTCCTCCTCCTCCTCCTCCTCCTCCTCCTCCTCCTCCCCTCTGCGAGTGGCCGAGACTCCTCGGCACCCTCCGGCTTGCCGCTCGCCCGGTCGCCTTCGGGCGCGCCTGGTCCGGCCTGCCCTCGCCCTGCCTGCCCCGCTCGATGAGGTCGAGGAGCTGCCCGCTCCTGCAGGAGGCTTTTGCGCGCGGGTGGGGCCCCGAGGATCTGCTCTGCTCGAGGCGCAGAGACGGTGCACGCGCTTGCGCCTGGAGGCCTCCTTGCTGGGGACGGAGCAGGTCCCCTCCTCCTCCTCCTCCTCCTCCTCCTCCTCCTCCTCCTCCTCCTCCTCCTCCTCCTCCTCCTCTTCCTCTTCCTCTTCCTCCTCCTCCCTCCTCCTCCCTTCTCCCCCTCCTCCTCCTCCTCCTCCTCCTCCTCATCCTCCTCCTCCTCAGCCCCGCCGCGCCTGGCAGGCGGGCAGGACGACCGCGAGGGCGTGGATATGGATACGTTCGCCGCTCGTGGTCTCTGTCCTCTCTGGGCCTCTGAAGGTCTCGCGTCCGTTGCTGGATTCTTTCGACATCCTAGTCATGAGTCGTCCCAGGACGAGGTTCTTTGGTTTGAGACGGGAGAGGAGGACGAGCTGGATCCGATGCTCAAATGACTCGGGGTCGGATGCCGTGGACGGGAGACGAGATTGGCGGTGCGCACAGGCGGGCAGGGGGAGGGGGAAGGCTTCTTAGAAGAAGGCTGCTTCTTAGAAGGCGCTGGCCTTACATCGAAAGAGAAGGCCCGCGCCTTCTAAGAGGCAGGGGTGCTTCTCAGAAGCCTTCCCCCCTCCCCCTGCCCCCATCTGCGCGTGGGATCGGAGGACGACGGGACCGGATCCCGTGGACCGCGGATGCGCGGTGGCGTGGATGCGCACCGCGCGGGGCAGCCGAGAGGAACGCCCCGCGCATCCACGGGGTCGCGGCCCAAGTCGGGTCGTGCGAAAGGGGGGGATAGCAAAGGGGGGGGTTTGAGAATCAGATCACGTAGCTGATTTTCCCAGCGCCTCCCGGCGCCGGAGGCGGCTACGTATCGAGGATTGGGCCCCTCGGTGAGGCCGAAACCAGCTGCACGCAGCAAATTCCGTAACCCCCCCCTTTCCCAATCCCCCCCTTTCGCCCGGCCCGATGGATGCGCACCGCGCGGGGCAGCCGAGAGGAACGCCCCGCGCATCCGCGGGGTCGCGGCCCGAGGCCTGGCCCGCGGGGCCGTCGACGCGGACGTGCCTCCCGCGCGTGGGCGCCAGGGCGCCACGCGTCGGGGGCAGGGCCCCCCCCCGGAGCAGGAGGCCGCTGCCGCCCGACCTCTGGCGCGACGGAGCACGCCCCCTCGGGCGCGCTTCCTCGAGCGAAGCTGGGTGGCGGCAGGAGGGAGGAGTGAGGAGGAGGAGGAGGAGGAGGAGGAGGAGGAGGAGGAGGAGGAGGAGGAGGAGGAGGAGGAGGAGGAGGAGGAGGAGGAGGAGGAGGAGGAGGAGGAGGGAGGAGGAGGGGAGGAGGGGAGGGAGGAGGGAGGGAGGGAGGGAGGGAGGTGAGGGAGGGAGGGAGGGGGGAGGGAGGGAGGGGGGGGGGAAGGGAGGGAGGAGGAGGGAGGAGGGGAGGAGGAGAGGAGGAGGAGGAGGAGAGGAGGAGGAGGAGGAGGAGGGAGGGAGGAGGGAGGAGGAGGAGGGGGAGGAGGAGGAGGAGGAGAGGAGGAGGAGGAGGAGGAGGAGGAGGAGGAGGAGGAGGAGGAGGAGGAGGGAGGAGGGAGCTTCCGAGCAGGAAGGGGGAAACAGGGCGGGGGGCCGCCCTCGATGCTCCCGAGGAGGCCTCCCTGAAGTCGGGAGGGCTCCCGGACCCCGCCCCCCCGGCCCCCCCCCCTGGCGCCACCCCCTCGTGCTCGCCGCCATCTGCTGCGCGCGACCTTAGGGGGGCCCAGGATTAGGTCAGGCATATCTTCCTACAGGGTGATTTTGGATGGAAGATCAAAAATAGTCCAACACATACTCAAACATAATTAGTCACACAATGGTTTTAAAAATCGTCCCCGGACTATGTTGGGGATTTTCCTCCTGTAGAGAGGCCAGGGGGGCATGTCCAAGCGGCCTGGCCTAAGCGCGCAAGCCGCTGCTGTCGCACCACACTCCGCGCTCGGGGGACCCCACGGGGGCCCGCAACGCAGGCCGCTTCTGGGCGAGAGGCCGCCCTTTTGCCGCGTGGCCGCTGTCCTGTCGGCGTACCGCAGCGCCCGCCTGGCCGGCTCCTCCAGCTCCGCGAACGCCTCCCGGCAGGCCTCCAGGTACCCCTGCCACCGCTCCTGATCGGGGGGGCACGAGCATGGATTACCGATCCATGGATTTGGCGCGCGGTCGCCAAATTCATGGATCGTGGGATGTGTCCTCCTCGAAATGCGGCTGGTGCCGCCTCGCTCGGCGGCGGAATCAGCGATTTCCAATGAAAACGGGGCCCGTCGCTCATCAACGCCCCCCTGATCCATGTTTGCCACCGCTCCTGCCTGGGGGGCGCAAAGGTGGGGCTCGGACGTAGCGTTAGGTGGGGCATGTCCCCCCTACAGGCGGATTCTGGGCGAAAAATAGGAAACCCACAAGGAATATCTATATATATATATATAATGGCCAAAGATAATCGAAAATTCGTGCCCTGATTTGTTTGTACTATTTTGGAATATTCCTCCTGTGGAGGGACAGGCCCTACTTAAACGTCCTGAACAACTTGCAACGTCGTGGCGAATCGCGAACAGAACCACGGACCTCATATTTTCCGCTGCCGTTTGTCGCGCCGGATCGAACTGTGCGGGTCACGGGGCCAGACACCGGGCGAAACTGCCCGTTATGAAAGAATGGATGGGGGGCCAGGGCTGAGCCTGAACGATATTTTTGTTCGTTGTGTTTTCGTGTTGTGTGTTTCGTTTGTCTCTGCCTGTTTTCCGGTACCTCCCCGCCAGAACGAGAGACAAAACACGGCCGAAGTCCAGCAGACCAGCGCTTAGGGCCAGCCCTGCGGTGGGCCCACGACGAGGACGCCCGCGCCGCCCCAGCCACAAGCGCGAAGAACACCCCCCTCCCCCAGCTCGCGCGGCCGCCCTCGCGCCGCGGACGCTCGCGCGGCTCCCCTCTCTCTCTCTCTCTTTCTCTCCCTCTCTCTCTCCCCCTCCGGGCGCTCCCCCGCCCGTCTGCCGTGATGCGGCCGCGCGCCGGGGGGGCCCCTGCCTGGTACGCGCCGCGACTCGGCGCGCGCGCGTGCTTCTGGGGGACAAAAAAACGGCACCAGTATTCCGCTCCTTCCGGACCTCTCCTGGGGTGCGTTCGGGCCAAGATTTCGAGGCGAACCCAGCAGTGGCGGCGAGGGCCTCCCGGGAGGCCCCCAGGAGAAGGGCAAGCGAGGCAAGGGTAGCGGCATCGGTACCTTTCCCTCCTGAGTCTCTTTCTCTCTGTAACTCTCTCTTTCTCTCTCTCTCTCTCTCTCTGTCTGTCTGTCTATACATCTATATATATATACAGTTTACATACATATATATATGCATTAAGATATATATATATATATATATAGATGTGTGTGTATGGAATGTCTGTTTGTCTCTCTCTCTCTCGAATGCCGTAGGCGCGCGCCGGAGCCACAAGCGCGCGCTCGCCATGCTTGTGGGACAGTACGGGAGTGCCCACCAGGGCGGTGGCCGCCGCGAGAGGCCGCAGCCACGAGCTGGCGCGCGAGAGGGGACGGTCAGGGGACAAACCAGTGGAACCCCCTCGTCGTCGATACAGTCGGGGCGTTGACCTAAGGAACTCTAAATAAGGAACGAGGCCCCTATTTTCCATAAGTTAAACTTCGATTGCCCATCGAAAACCTAAGGAAAACCTGAGGCAAGCTGCGAAAGTATCAAGGAAGACGGAGCCCCTCCCCAACGAAAAGGGTTCCTTCCTCAATGCCCCGACTGTACCACGTTCATCCCCCCCCCCGACTTCGGGGATTTTCTGACCCGGGTCAATCCAGACCAGGGTCAATCAGGACTTGCAAGATCCTGCAGGATCCTGCACCCAGACCCGGGTCAAGACGAATGATCCTGCAGGATCCTGTAGGATCCTGCGCCCAAGCCCGGGTCGATGCGGCCCTGGCTCTGCAGGATCCTGCAAGATCGGGCGCTCTGGCTGACCCCCGTTTGCATTGATTCCCGTCCCTTGAGCCCCGACGAGTCAAAGTTGGGCTCCGGGGTGGTGGAGGCCCCGGGGATTCCACTTGTCCAAGCCTGCGCTCGTCTGGGAGCAACTTTGGATGTGGGGGGAGGGGAGGGGGGCGGCGGAGCCAAGGTTTCCACTTTTTTGTCCATCTACGGGAGCGATCACGGAGCCCAGTCGTGCGGAAAGAGCAGCGCACGCTCGAACCTGTGGGGGAGGAGGGAGTGGAGAAGGGCAAGAAGATGCGGGCGCTGCAATTTGCGGGTGCGGGCAGTCGGACGCCGAGGGGTTCTCCCGTTCGAGCGGGGACACCCCCTCTCAGACAACACCCACCCGCAGCCCCCCCACGGGATCCCACCCCGAGGAGTTCGGAAGTCCACGAGTCCCACCCCCGAGGAGTCCAGGGCCCCCGAGAAGAGCTGGTCTCGCCATCGCTCGGACGTCCATTTTCCATGCATGTTTCGATTTCGTGCGTGTTTTTTTTTTGGGGGGGGAAGATCACAGGTGCAGTGCCAACGCGGGGCATCAGTGGCAGCTGGAGGTTTCGCAGAGCGAAAACAATTTCCGCGAGCACCGCCCCCACGCAGCGCGCTCCAAGCAGGCGGTGCTTCTCGGTCAAAATGGCCACTCGGCATGCAGGACGACCACCTCACCAATCGGGGAGGACATCCAGTCCTCCGAATTTGACGTCCAGGGCGAAGCCTCCAAACGGAGTCGGGGCCTTGGGCCCCGAACCGAGAGGCAACTTCGCCCCAGTTCGTGGGTGGTTTCCGCTCCAGAGGTGGTCCAAGCGGGCACGGGTCGAGGAGGAGGAGAAGGAGGAGGAGGAGCCTTTTACTGGGGTGAAGCCCACAGCTGCAGTGCCAGCGCGGGGCATCAGCGGCAGCTGGGGGCTTCGCAGAGCGAAAACAATTCCCGCCACGCAGCGCGCTCCAAGCAGGCGGTGCCTCTCGGTCAAAATGGCCACTCGGCATGCAGGACGACCACCTCACCAATCGGGGAGGACATCCAGTCCTCCGAATTTGACGTCCAGGGCGAAGCCTCCAAACGGAGTCGGGGCCTTGGGCCCCGAACCGAGAGGCAACTTCGCCCCAGTTCGTGGGTGGTTTCCGCTCCAGAGGTGGTCCAAGCGGGCACGGGTCGAGGAGGAGGAGAAGGAAGAGGAGGAGCCATTTTACTGGGGTGAAGCCCACAGCTGCAGTGCCAGCGCGGGGCATCAGCGGCAGCTGGGGGCTTCGCAGAGCGAAAACAATGCCCGCCACGCAGCGCGCTCCAAGCAGGCGGTGCCTCTCGGTCAAAATGGCCACTCGGCATGCAGGACGACCACCTCACCAATCGGGGAGGACATCCAGTCCTCCGAATTTGACGTCCAGGGCGAAGCCTCCAAACGGAGTCGGGGCCTTGGGCCCCGAACCGAGAGGCAACTTCGCCCCAGTTCGTGGGTGGTTTCCGCTCCAGAGGTGGTCCAAGCGGGCACGGGTCGAGGAGGAGGAGGAGAAGGAGGAGGAGGAGGAGGACAGGAAAGACAGACAGAGAGAGAGAGGGAGAACAGGAGCCGTCGTGCCAGGAAGAACGGTGCTTCCTGCTCTCTGCTTCCTTGCCAGGGGCAGGGGCAGGGGCAGGGGCAGGTGGCAAACGAGTCCACGGAGCTTCCCGCGGCTCGTTCTGGTCGGGGCAAGGCGCCCCCGCTGGACCAGATCCAGCACGCCTCCGACTGGTAAACTCATAAGGTCGAGCCGCGCGGCTTCGCAATGTGCGTGCTCGACTGTTACCCCGAAGGGTGCACCGCGTCTGGCGGCGTGCCAGGCCAAAGCAGTGCTTGACAAATCCTGGGCAAGCTCAATCTACCTTCCCAGAGAACTATTCGGGCTGCAAAAGCAAGTCTCCAGTTTTTGAAACATCTCAGTCGCCAGTGTGCGGACATCTGTGCGGAAAATGGAGGCACGCCGGTCACTGGACCAGCGGCGCGGTGCCAGGCGGCCTCAAGTGTTTGACTTGATTGAAACATCTTCTCGAGGACGGGCATCAGCCCAGAGAGCGAGTGTGGCACCCAGCCACATCTGCGAGAGAGACTGCGGCAGCAAGGCCGGCGTCGGCCTCGACCGAGCCGCTGCCCGTAGCGTCACCCGCCGGCGCAAAGGTACATACAAGGCAGTTGTTTTTACATGGGAGTTAAACACATATAGGATCTGTAATACATGATTAACGTATGAATAAAGTGATGCATGATGGCCAGATCACCTAGGACTGCCAGGTAGGATGCAGGCTGGCAGGCAGGAAGGAGCGAGTTAAGAGGCAGGAAAGAAGAGGATAAGGGGTGGGAGGCGGGTGTTACGTGGGGACAAACCACGACGGGCGGTCATGTGGGCATCTGAAGGCCCTCAACGGGCTCCAGGAACATCAAGGAATGGTTCGACGGAAAACTTATGCTGGGGAAGGGTTCTAAGCGTATGGGGCAGAAGCTTGACGCACGAAGCCTGCGCTAAAAATGTGGGGCGCATGCACTGCTACACGCGCGACCAAAGTGCAAAAGTAACCAGCAACGAATCAATCAGAAATGGCCTGATCGGTGCGCCTGGTAGACAACATCCCTACCATGTCGGAGGCACTCGTTCTGCGAGCTGGCTCGGGCTTCAAAACCGCCTCTAAGCACGCCAGTGTTACGCCGTCGAGTGGATTACCCATCTTCGTCATCACCTCGGTGTGGCAACCTGCATGGGAGAAAAACTCGAGTACTTGCCGCGCGGCGTAAGCGAGGGGCTCGCCACGGCGCCACTGGACCGACAACTTGAGCGAACCTTGCCCGCAAGCGGTCTCCAGGAGCAGCACCCCAAGACTCCAACAATCCGCTGGCTTAGGCAAGTACGGCTCGTTCAGCGCCACCTCTGGAGCCACGCACGGCAGAGATCCGCACCAGGTCTCCCTTGCGCTGGAGTTTGGCACGTGAGCTGCCATGCTGAAATCCACAAGGCGGCAGATGTGCCGATTCTGTGATGTCTCTACAGCCACGTGTTTCAAAGACACTTGCCCATGGACGACATCCTGGGCGTGGCAGTAGGACAGAGCACTGGCGATCTGGGTACTGCAATCCAAGGCTTCGTCCTTGGACAAGCGGTACCCAGGTTGAGTCAACAACACCTGCTCCATGCACACGTCTCCACCATACTGGAGAACCAACTGCACACTACACTGGCTGTGCAACATGCCTACGCAACGGATGATGTGTGGGTGGTCGAGGGTGTGCGTCAAGAAACAGAATTCCTGGTATATGCTCTCCACCTCCTTGGCATCGGTGACGCTGCGCTTGTCGTACTCTTTGATCACGACGTATTCATGCTGCCCGTTCACCGCCAACGACACGTGCTGGTGATCCGAATACGGGCGTACGAGCTGGAAATCCCCAACCCGATTCCCATATTCCAAGAGACGCTCGTCCAAAGGCGCGAAATCGGGCATCAACACATCTGGAATGGCATTCCAGAGCAAACTACGGAACTCGTCCTCGATGTCTTTGAGCTGCATGGCAGAGGGCACACCCGGTACACCCTGGTTCAGAATGCTGATGTGTGCCCGCACGCGCAGCTGGATGGCGGCGTTCTCTTGGAGCTCCAAACTTAACCTATGTTGCAGCACCCCCGGGTCACCTGCCAGCTCCATCAGCACGCCATCCGCCCCAAAGCTGTAGAGCTCGTCATGCCGCACCATCAGTTTATTAAGGTAGGCCTTGGTCAGCTCGGGATCCAACCGATCTGGAAGCTGTACCAGGAAGACGACCACGTCGGGATGAGCCACCCCAAGATGGTCCAGAAGACATACCACGCGACTCTTCTCCTTCTTCTTCCTGTATACGGATACGATCAACACGACCTCGTGCTGTTCCACTATCTGGGCGATGCTCTCCAACCTCAACTCTCCACAATCTGCGCAAGATGCCAACACGTTGGCCGGCTTCTCCTGCGAGCTCCAGGGCACCAAGGTCAAAAAGCCATACTCCGGCGTGCTTGGTGCGACGCTGATGAGATATTCCTCCACGACCCTCTGGATCGCACTGAGTGCTGCCATGATGTATAAGCAATGCGACTGGCAATCAAGGCACTTGTTGAAGCTGCACCTCCAGCCAAATTGCTTCTTGAGCCAAAACGGCTTGAGCCAGATGGCTACGAATTTCGTGCGTGTTTTCTTTTTGCTCGATGGTCCAGGATGCGCCTCGATGGTCCTCGCCGAGAAGAAAATGCACACGTCCGTGCGATGCCAGGTGGTTGTCAGCTCATGAAATCGGGACTTGCTTGAGATGCGGGGCAGTAAACGGGGGGGGTGTGAGGAAGGGGCACCGTTCGTGCACCTCTGGGGCCCCAAGGGGGCCCCTTGAAGACCCATTGATGGCCCAGGTCTCCTGCAACCTTCGATTCCCCCCGCCGTTTCGAAACGCCCGCCCCAAGGGCACCCTTGCGAGGCTGGAACTTATACGTGTCCACCGCCTGAAAAACCGATGTGCGTGGGCATTCCTGGAACTGGTGGCTATGAATATGTTTGGACTCCTTCCAGGCCCAAGCCCAAGACTGTCCACACGGCAGGTCCGTGCCGCGCCCACGTCGGCGCTGGTCTCTGGCACCGCGCTGACTCAACCTGGAGCGATAGCGGCCTTCTGGCATCGCAGGCCGATTCTGGGCCGCTGAAAGTTCTCAGCTCTGAGCCCCCGCGCTGGGGTCGCCGTGGCGCCAGCGCGGCGAGAACCTACCGTACCAGCGCAAGGGAACGTCGGCCTGGCATCGATAGGTCGGCGATGTGCCCCGCTGGCGAAGCCGCAAGCTCCTGGATGGGGCGTGGCAACCAGGCCAACATCGGCGACGAGGGGGGCGACCGGAGGTCGATGATCTCCTCCTTCTGCCCAAAGTTCCCCCTTTCGCCCCGCCCCGCCCCGCGCTCCTCCGAGGCCAGGTGGAAGGTCTTCGAGCACTCCTCTGGGAGGCGGGCTGGATGGCACTGTCACCAGGTGTCAGGGGTCGGCTGCGACGGGGGGGGAGGGCTGCCCCCGATGCCTACGAGCACGCGGACGGAGCGCGTGTGCGCCTGCGCCGTTCTTGGGTTATGAGAAGCCTGGCCGGGATCGGGGAACAAGATCGCACTTCTCGCAGGTCGAGATAACGTTATGTCGGGCGTGTCCCCCTACACGGGGATCTTCAACGACAAAAATCATCATACCCCCAAAATAGCCCAAAACGGTCAAAAATACTGAACAAAAGAGTCCCCAGACTATTTCTGGAGTATGTCTTGACTATTTCTGTTGTATTTACCTAACAGCTTTTGCTGTTAGGTTTCTAGTGGTCTCAAAAGAGAGCATCATGACTCCTCAGGGGGGTCTGGGCGGGACCTGGACAGGCTGCCGCCGCGGCTGCCGCCGAAGCCGAAATCGCTTGGGACATCCTCGCAAAATCGCTCTTGGTGCTCCCAAAACTCCATTCCCGGGCCACATTTTGGATGCCCGGAGCCAACTGTTGGCCACTTCGTGCTCTTCGACTTCCCAGAACTCCATTCCCGGGCCACATTTTGGATGCCCGGAGCCAACTGTAGGCCACTTCGTGCTCTTCGATTTCCCAGAACTCCATTCCCGGGCCACATTTTGGATGCCCGGAGCCAACTGTAGGCCACTTCGTGCTCTTCAAGTTCCCAGAACTTCATTCCTGGGCATGATTTTGAATGCCCGGAGCCAACTGTAGGCCACTTCGTGTTCTTCTAGTTCCCAGAACTCCATTCCTGGGCCACATTTTGAATGCTGAGGCAGGCTGATGCTGCGGCCGAGGCAGGCTGAGGCTGAGGCAGGCTGAGGCTGAGGCCGAGGCTGAAGGCAGACTGAGGCTGAGGCTGAAGCAGGCTGAGGCTGAGGCTGAGGCAGGCTGAGGCTGAGGCTGAGGCAGGCTGATGCTGAGGCAGGCTGAGGCTGAGGCTGAGGCTGATGCAGGCTGAGGCTGAGGCAGGCTGAGGCTGAGGCCGAGGCTGAAGGCAGACTGAGGCTGAGGCTGAAGCAGGCTGAGGCTGAGGCTGAGGCAGGCTGAGGCTGAGGCAGGCTGAGGCTGAGGCTGAGGCAGGCTGAGGCTGAGGCTGTGACTGCGACTGCCGTTGCCGCTGCGACTGTCATCGCGAATGCGACTACGACTGCGAGAACAGCAGAACTCGACAACTGGATTTTCATCTGAATCTTAAGGGGAATGCTTTCAGATGTGCTTCTACACATCGCTGATAGGTTGCCTTGCCGGGATAATTTTTTATCTGTCGTCGACAACTCCCCTGCAGGGGGGACAGGCCCGACGTAAAGATGACGTCATGTGCTATAGGGCAGGGTGCCTGTGGGTGCTCCAACGGACCCCCCCCCCGCTTCAAGCGCCGGGGCTGCGTGCTCGCCCCTCCGCCGCCCCCGCCAACGCACCCTGGGCGGCCACGGCGCGTCCCTCGGTATCGCTCGGCCGTCCATGTCCCGTGCATGTTTCGGTTTCGTGCGTGTCTTTTTGGCTCGATGGTCAAGGGTGGTCCTCGATGGTCCCCGCCGAGGAAAAAATGCCCGCGTCCGAGCGATGCCAAGGTCCCTGGTGCGTTCCGAATGTGTCCGAAACCGCCCACGAAGGCCATCACGGCCACCAAGGTGGCCCAGCGTTGCCTTAACAGGCACCCAATCCCAGGAAACGCTGAATCTACCCGAGCAGGCCCCCACTGGGCCCCCAGACGCTCTCAAAACGCTCTCCAAGAAGCCCTCGAAGGGCCAACTGAGAGTCCCAAGAGTGCCCAAAGACGGCCAATGGAGCCCCAAGTTGGCCCCAGAGGGTCTTCGGGTGACCCAGGACGACCCAAGGCGGCCCCAAGAGATGTCCAAAACGGCCACTAGGGCCCCAAACGGTCACAAGGGTTTCCCAAGACGGTCCAAGAGAGGGCCCCAAGGTTTCCCAAGAGGGCCCGAAGGTGACCCAAAAGGGGCCCAAAGAAACTCCCAAGTCTGTCCCACGGGAAACCATTCCCCAAGACGGGTCCAAACAAAGTGGCTACGGAAACAGTCACATGTCTCGAAACTTTACCATCCAGAGTGTGACGGGACTTGCCGCGGGCATCTTGCTATCATCACCATAGGAGATCGGAGACCACCCCCCCCTGGTGAAAGCGAACCCCGGCTTCGGTGGCGGTGCCAAGCTCTATATGAGTATCCGGTCCTTGTACATGGCGCTGGCCTCGCAGATGCGGGTGATCTCCTCATTTTTATGATTGCAACCAACTGGCTTTGAGAGGAGAGGAGGAACCAAATGGGGAAACGGATGGCAGACTATGAGAATAAACGATGCGTAGAATTTGAATGTGAGTAGTCCTTGCTGCTTCCTTGTAGCGGCGTGGGCCAAACATCTGCTCCCCGCCCAAGCTCCGCGGAAACCGCTCTTCCAAGATACAGTCGGGGCGTTGACCTAAGGAGCCCCAAGTAAGGAACGAGGCCCCTTTTTCCCATGAGTTCAACCTCGATTTCTCGTGGAAACCTCAGGAGAGCGCGAGGCAAACTTTGAAGCATTCAAGGAACACCGACCCCCCCCCCAACGAAAAGGGTTCCTTCTTCAGCGCCCCGACTGTATCCGACGACGTGTTTTTGTTAAACGCTCGGAGATCTGGGTTTCCAGGCAATGCGTCGGGTCCCTGGCGGCCGTTGGCGGCGATCTCCGACACCCCCAGATCGCACCCAGCGGGGCGCGGCCGCTGGAGAACATGATAGCGGGGCGAGACAACACTTCCATTCCAGCACCCAACGGGGGCGAGGGAGGAGGAGGAGGAGGAGGAGGAGGAGGAGGAGGAGGAGGAGGAAAAGGTGGAGGAGGAGGGGGGGGAGGAGGAGGAGAAGGAGGAGGACCCCCTGAAATATCACGAAACCTCAGCTGCGGTTGGGGGAACAACCAGATCCGCCACCGTGCCTAAAGCACGTGGTGGAATATGCCCCAAGGCTCCTGCAACCTTGCGACCCCGAAAAGGCAAAAGGTTGTAAGGCTCGGCGAAACCCAAAAATCCCCAGCGGCCCCCCCCCGGATTTCCCGCGAGTTCATGGGAACTCCCGGGAGTTCCCATGAGCTCCTCGGCCGACCTAAAACGACCCCCCGAATCCCCGAAAACGTTTGAAGAAACGCATCGGTTGTCTACGAAGGGCCCCGAAGCGGTCCAGGATAGCTTCAAAACGGCCCCTCGTGGCCCCAAGCCAAAGAGCCCACAAGACTCCGCCCGAAGGCCCCGAAAGTACCCCAAAGGCAAAAATCACCACATTCCCAAATGCAGACGAATGTGTTCAACATATTCGCCTCTTCGGCTTTCATAGCGTCCAAGACGGCCCAAGACCCCCCCAAACGCCACAAGACGGCCCCAAAAAACCCCAACAGGCCCCCCCAGACGGCGCAATCGGGCCTCGCGACGAATCCAACACGGCACAAGATGCGCCCAAAATGGCCCCATAATGCCGCACAAGGGCAACGGGACATCGAGCTGCAATGTCGAGCCGTCCGCCCCAAGGCGACCCCATAATGAGATCGATCGCCCGCAGGCCCACCCAAAGTCCGGAAGAGGCTTTAGGAGGTCCAGAAGACGCCCCAACGAAACCCCAAAACGGCACCGAAAACGTCGAAACTGCCTCCAAGAAAACCCCCAAAGGCTCCCCAGAAGACCCCGGCAAGAAAGGGGACACCGACCCACAACCCAGGAATCCGCCGCCCCCTTTGATCTTGCCACAGGGGTGCGCGGCGTGCCACACGTCGGGCAAGTATTGTATTTCCCCCCCCCCCAAAAAAAAAACTCGCTGCGGGGTCTCGGTCCACCACGGCCCCCCGACCACCTGGAAAACTCTGGGCGGCCAACCTCCCTTCTGCTTTTAAAATTAAGACGGCCTCGCGGACATCGCCGCCGCCGCCGCGTTCTCGCGGCGAGGCGAGCGAAGCAAGCCGCCCGCTCGAAGGCCCATCGGCCTCGAACGCGCCTCGACGCAGGGGTCGACGGCCGCGCCAGCTGCCCGGGCGGAGGAACGGGCAGAACAATAATCGAGTGGAATAGGGGGGGGGGGCAGGAGGAGGGGGAGGAGGGGGAGGGGGAGTGGGAGAAGGAGGAGGAGGAGGCGGAGGAGGCGGAGGAGGGAGAAGGACGGGGACGAGGAGCTAGGGGGACGAGGAGGGGGAGGAGGGGGAGGAGGGGGAGGAGGGGGAGGAGGAGGAGGAGGAGGAGGAGGAGGAGGAAGAGGAGGAGCTTTCAGGGCTTTCCGCCTCTCGCAGGTGCGAGTCTGGCCCCGCGCTCCCGCGCGCGGGGCTCCGCTCAAGGGCCGCGGGCCTGGGCCCCGCCCTTTCTCCGAGCGCGTCTGGCGGAGGCGCTCGGAGCCGCCGACACGGGCCGCGCCCTGAGGCCGTCCTTTCTCCGCGCGCATCTTGCGGAGGCGCGCGGAGCCGTGGCAAGCCGACTTGGCGAGCTGCGGCCTCTGCAGGTGGGAGCGGGCCCACGCGCGTGGGCGCGTGGGCCCTCGGGGTCGGCCCCCCTCTCGCCGTCGGGCTGGCCGAAGCGGTCCGCGTCGTCGTAGCGCCCGTGCCCTCTTCGAGGGCCACCCCCGACGTGGGGGTGCCCGAGGGTGGGCCTCCTCGACCTGCTCCAGCTTCAGGTGCGCGGTGCGGTGGGTGAGCAGGCCGAGGGTCCTCGCCAGCCTGGAGGAGTGGTGCCTCGTCCTCCTCGATGGCGCGTGAACTTCGTATCTGCATCATGATGGCTTGCTGCAGGAGGGTGTTCGTGTCGGGGAGCTGTGGTCGGCTTCTCCTTCTTCTGGTTGCTCTCTCCGCTGCCGCTCGTGAACTGCGATTGGTCTCTGCGTTCTGGCTCCCCAGGTGGTCGATACCCTCTACCCTCGATGGCCCTTGGGCTGCGGGCGAGCAGTGCGTGCCACCTGAGGCAGATCCAGCAGCATGGCGGCGACTGAGCATCTGCGATGCAGCGCTCTGACTCCCCAGGTGGTCGGTACCCTCAACCCTCAACGGCCTTTCGGCTGCGGGCGAGCAGTGCGTGCCACCTGGGGCAGGTCCAGCAGCGTGGCGACGTATGTGCGTCTGCGATGCTGGACTGGTACTCTGCGTCGTACATGTGCCCAACCCCGAGGAGCGGGCCAGTTGGGCATGCTCGGTATCTGCATCACGATCATCCACAGTCTCCTCAGTCTTCTCCTCCGCTGCCTTCTTGAGCCAGTTTAGTAATTTGTATTTGAGGCTGTTGTACTTCGGCGTTCCTTTGCACTCGCTCCTCATCTTGTCCGATATCTATTCCGTGGAGGTGGCGCCGCATTCCTTGCAGAACCAACGCTTCTCAGCACGCAGGAAGATGAGAGGGTGTGATGCGTGTGTAGTCATTCCGTTTTGTTTCAGCTCCGTGCCTTCCTTGGGTGGCGGCCCTTGGCAGCCGTCCCCAAACCACTTCACGAGTGTCTGGAAGGGGGTGTGCTTGTCGATCTTCTGTTCACAGCAAGTGCACTTCCACCCTTTACCTTTTCTTGGGCGTGTGAGTCGATGAGTGGTCGGTGGCCTCCTCCCAACTGGTGCAGGTGGTCCGTCCGCCAGGTAATCTCGTCGCCGTCGTATTTGTTTGTTCGCCTCTTGTCGCTGTTGTCTTCTCTGTGCACGTACTTCGTGTCCGTCGGCTGGTCGTCGTTGCATGAGGTCTTTGGTGGCTGCAATAATCCTTCGCCGTACTAGGGCTGCCGTCGAGTTGACCCATTCGTAGCAACCCATCTGCGCGGAGTCTATGTCGTGGTTCTCTGCGGCTGCGTCGGCGAAGCGATCTGCTTGGCCGTTGCCATACCAAGCATGCCGAGGGAACCCTTTAGCCTCCGCATCCTCCCAGGAGAGATGGCTGTTGATGTGGTGCAGCTGAATACTTTCCACTCCGCCCCGCATCGCCAGCTCCTGCCCGATCTGCTGCCACAGGTCGCCGTTGGTGCCGACTTCGCCGCATTTCTCGAACCTCCTGTTGTGCCAGCCTTTATACACCACCTCGCTGTCCGTCCAGAAGTGTAGTGCCCCTGCCGTGCTACGTAAACAACTGAGAAGGGCCCACAGCTCCGCTCTATTGTTGGTTTGGCGGCGGCCTGGGAGGGGTCCAAATTGTCCAGCTGCGAGTTCGTAGCCGTCGCCTTGTTGCCGTAGTCGTACCCATGCCCAGCCACACCGCCTGCATCGCCAATCTGCGCTGTTCTTCCCACCAGACCCATCTCCGTACGCTACGATCGGGGAGCCGTCCTCCGTGGTGATGCGCCCTTCTTGGAGGCACTCGCCAATGTTGTTGGCCTGCTCCTCCGTGTCGCAATCTGGTGGTACTGACCATGCCCGTGGGGTTATACCCCTCAGCCAAAACGCAAGTACTGCTTCGTGCCCAGCTTCCGCCCTAGTCTGTAGTCGGTCGGTGGTGTCGAAGGCTTTGTCACATGTCCGTGCATCGCATTGTCCCCATATTATGTGGTAATCCGTCTCTTCGTGTCCTCATTCACATTGTGCCGATCCTTTCCCAAAGCATGCTCTATTCCTAGCTCTTGTCCATGTCCCTGCACACGTCGCGATCAGGAGCGCACCGTACTCTTGGTAATTGCCACGTCGCAGAAGCCATTCGAGATGTTGCATGAGGTCTGTGATATCTGCACCACTATGCTCGAGGCCTCCTCCGTTGTGGTGTTCTGCTGCTTTACGCCATAGAAGTAAGGATACGTCCATCATCAGCGCGTCCAGGATGCCGGTTGGGTCACCCTGCTCGCCGTGCAGGGGGAACTTCCATTGGTTTCCTTCACTGTCCAGCCAGATGTCGGGTCCACGTGAGTTCCATCCGATCTCCCACAATGTCAGGATGAGTGATGCCACAGGCCCTCGCCTCTGTCGCCATCTTTTGTGTTCTGGCAGTCGGAGTAGTCGAAAGGATATTCTCGGCCAGGCTCGTCTTACTTGCTCGCGGAGGTCGGGACTGTGGCTCCAGCAACTGAACCAATGGCTGAATTGGCCCTTCATGATCGTGTAGGCTGGGTCCGTACCTTCAACTGCTAAGTATGTAGTTAGACAACGCCCTGGCCATGGTCTTCTGAGCGCTTGTGCACATCGTCGCCGCGCGAGTTGGGGAGCTGTCGGAGCCATGCCGTGGAACGCCGTGCCGTACTTTACTGATGCCATGGCTCCCTGCTGTGTGACTCCTGCTCGCTTGCGTACTCGTAGTCGTCGTAGTTTCCTGCCGACCGCTCCGAGCCGTCTTCTCACTCCTTTCCAGCGCGCTCCGTGAGTCGGTCTGGTGGAGGTGCCTCGTACAGCTCTGTCCGCGCCCAGATCTCGACCTTCGGTGCTGATCTTGATGGTCACGTTTGCCGTCTTGAGCTGCTTCTGGATCTTCTTTGCGTCGCTGTAGCTTGTTGCCAGCAACGTAGTTTTATCTGCCAATTTGAGCCCTTGTTCTCCTAGTGCCAGGAATAGTATCTTTGTGCTCTCGACCGTGGCCGTGGTGATCTGTTTTCTGCTGCCCACAATGCGAATACTGACGTCGTCGAACCATGCCCGCGGGATAGGTCGAGGTAAGCACGTGGTACCTGTGAACTTTGCCATGGCTGCGTATACCACCGTCTTGGCCACGTTGTTCGCATGTCTGGAGCCTGCTAATATCGACTTGTCGGGGAGGATCGGCTCCGAGAAGGCGCCATGGCATCGCAGGACTCTGGTAGCTGAATGTTGGGGCATCATGAGGTATAACGGCTTTGCTGGGAAGTTCATCTGCAATGCCGCGGGTGCCACTTTGTCGATTCTCAAGCTGTCGTAGAACTTTTCGATGCCTGCCAACAATACCGTTTCCCATACATCCAACGCGTCTGCACACTCGTCCGTGATGAGTCTCCTGAGCGCTTCCCTCAAGCAACTGTTGCCTGCGACTGCCGCATCCCATTCTCTCTCGTGCTCTCGCGCCCATTGCCGTACTCTGTTTCTGTGAAGAAGCTCCCAGCACCGAAACAATTGTGGTAGCAGTGCAAGTGCTCTATCTCTTTTGCTTGGTTTCGGCATAACCATCACCACTGAGAGTAACAACTGCCACGGCCAGGTAAGATCCCGCTCACATTGATTGAGGAGGCTGATAAGAGTCTGCTTCCCTGCGGTGGGTAGTCTTCTCAGGTCCGTCGGGCAGATCATGTCCACTCCCTTTCCCTTGTCGGGTTCGCCTTTCAAGCACCTGATCAGGTCCTCGATGGTCCAGGGGTCGTGATCATCGTCTCCTCGCGCAGCTCGTCTGAGTTCTTTCAAGTAACCTTCGTGTGAAGTATGTGGTACTTCTTCGCAAGCCCATATCTTTTGAAAATCAACAGCTTTCTGGTCGACCGTATCCTTCGGGCTGCATACGGTGCCGTATACAGTATGTATCCCGTGCTCATGTCGGGGTGGCGGCTTAGTGATCCGATGCAGAACACCGATGGTCTTCTCTGCTTGCGCCAACCATAGACTGTACTGCTTGCTGCTGTCCCGCATGTCTTGCTTGATGGCTGTCCGCTTCTCGTGTGCTGCTTGTGCTGCCATGCCCTGAAGTATGTCCAGTGGTACCTTTTCAAGCGCTGCCATACGATCTGCCCATATCTGCTGGTGGGGCATGGCGGTGTGTGAGGCTCCCTTCCCAACTGGTGGCAGTCCTTCCCGAACGAGGCGTCGTCCTGCGCTGGCTAGTGCTTCTTGTTGTTGGAGGCCTCGCCCGCGTTCTTGTAATTTGACCAGTGTGCTCAGCACTGTGTCGGCCCTGTTCCACCAGTCTGTGCGATGTGCTGCGTAACGTGCTCGTCGGTCTCCTTTTTCTTTCAGCGGCGCTGTCTTGAATTCACATGGGTGTCCACGTCCGCAAAATACTGATCTGTCTGCCAAGTCCACTTTGTAAACCATGCAATAGAATTTCTCCAGAGTGCCGATGAACTGATGATATTGCCGTCCTAGTCGTTCTGCTCCGTTCGGGTCGGTCTTGTATGCTGCACTCTGCTTTATGTACTCGGGGGCCGTGTCAGTCGACTCCAAGGCTTGTAGTTGTGCTGCCACTTCCCAAGTATCGCCCATGCTTGCGGTGTCCACCCCTGCTGCTTTGTCCGCGATCCGCTGCTCCATCGTCTGTGAGGTAGTCCTTTGGGTTTCCTTCGACAGGTCCGACGAATTGGTCGCGGCTGCATTTTGGTCGTTCATGGTCTCATTCGTGTTCGCCGCCTTTTGTGTAGTATCCATCGCCACTGGTGTGTCCCAAGCCCCTTCGACATCCTCTGGCATGAGCATGTCGCTGTCCGAGCTGATAAGGTTCGCATCCAGGTCGTCGAAGGGGTCTATGTCCTCGATGTCCATGTGTGCGACTTGTCTTGGGACGGGTCCACTGGTCTCAACGTCTTCTATCGCTCCAGTCTGGTGTCGCTTCCATCCGTCTGGCCCAAGGGCTTCCCATCTCATCGTGTCGGTCTCGGCGGGTACGTCGTCGGAGGGGATGTCTGATTCGTCCAGAACTGGTAGCGCTGCTTTCTTCTTCTTCTTTGCTGTTTTGCTGTTGGGGTTGGTCTTCTTCGGCAGCTTGGGGTGGGGAAAAGCTTTCGGCATGCACGATCTTCTGCATTCGTTCACCTGCGCTGCTGCCTTTATTGCAATAACCAGCCCCACGTGTGGTTTCCAAAGGAACATCGTGAACAGCGTGTATACCTCGAACAAGTCTCTGGCCTCCAGGGTTGACCAGGGCGTAGTCTATGTTCGAGGGGGTCGCGTCGCCTAGGAAGCACGTGTTCTGGCCCTCTGGCACTTGGACCACACCCGTTGCGCCCAGTGCCGTCGGCCACCCTGTCTTCTCAAGCGCGTCGAACTCGCAATTGAAGTCGCCGCAGATGATCCACGGCATGGGGGTAGTGTGGAGGAATGCCGCGAGCGAGGTCAACTTCCTGGCGTTTACCCCGTCGACGAGGGAGGCGTTCGGGTCCAAGTAGAGGGAGATGATGAGGAGCGAGGTGCCCTTCAAATGGAGCGTGACTGGCGTCCAGTCAATCATGTCTATGTCACACGGCCCTTGGTTAGTAGTCACACTCGAGGTCGTGCCTGCCCGTGCCTTGTGGCGGAAAGAGGTAGCCTTCAGGTGGCCCTTGGTGATGACAGCTGTGCCACCGTGGGTCCCCTTCTGGCTCTTCTCGCTCTGCCTGGCTGCCGTGAAAACTGCTGAGAACCCATATTTCTGCAGCTCGTATTCCACGTCATTGAGTTGTGCCTGTGCCAAGTGTGTTTCCTGAAGCGCATAAGCATCATAAGGTTGTCGAAGCCCGTCGCGTCGGATCCAACTCTTGGCCGTAGGTCCCCACGTTGATACGTTGGCGAAAAAGATCGTGCGGTCCAGGGGCTCGGCGTCGCCAGCGGGTCGCCTGCCCCTCCGCGGTGGGCCCTAGTGCTGGCCTGAGCCAGCGCTTGCCCCACCGCTGCCGCCAGCTGCCGCCTCCGCCCTCCTGCGCTGCTCCAGGTAGGCGTCTGCTCCGTCGACGGGGATGTCGTCGGGCTCGCCTGCAGGTGTGGATGCTGCTGCTGGTGCTGGGGCCGCTGCTGGAGCTGCCTGCGCCTCCTTCGCCGTTTCATTTGAGCTCGCCTTCCGCTTCTTGTAGGCCTGGGTGATCGTGGCGCGCTCCTGCTGTGCTTTCTCTTTCGCCTGCTGCAAGTGGTCTTTCAGCTGGCCCCTGAAGGTTGATGCCGTCTGCCGAAGATGCTCCAGGACTTGCTTCTTCGCTAATTCCACTTGCCGCTTTCCCTCTTCGTCCATGTCCTCGTCGTACTGGAAGTGAGCCTCAACCTCGGCGATCTCGATCTCCGATGGCTGGATCAGCTCCGTGTCCGCGTTCAGCAGCTGGTCGAAGATGCTCTTCGGCTTCTCCTTGCCCTCCTGCTGTATCATCTCTATTTCCTTCTCCGCATTCAGGACGTCGTCCGCTCTGGCCGTGAGCAGCTCTGTTGCCTTCTTCGCCTTCTCGTCCGCTGACTGCTTTGCATCGAACGCCCATTTGTACTTTTTGTTCGCGTTCTCGAGTTTCCTTGCTGCTTCTGCCAACCGAAGTGCTCGGGACTTAGGAACCTGTGCTGGGGAACTCGCCGCTGCTTGAAGTGCCGTGGCCACACTCGTAAGCTGCTTGGCGATGCCGTCTTTGTTCTCGATCTGGAGGGTGTCCAGGGAGCTCGTCATCGTCTGCAAGGCCGTGGCGATCTGCGCGAAGCCCTGCTGGTCGGAGCCCGTGGCACCGTCCGAACGGTACTGCTTGTACTGCTTGTCCTTGTCCTTGTCCTTGTCTTTGCCCTTGCCCTTGCCCGCGTTGCTGTCGCCCTTCGTCATGTCTCCTTTGGGCCTAGCAACTCGGCATCCGCAGGAGCACCAGTAGTCGCGCGACTCCATCTGCGATATCCACCACCACATTTTGCAATGTTTGCACGTCGTCCACTGGGTCGGTGCCATACTGCCGTGGTGGAGGTTCAGGAGGAGGCGAGCGTTCACCAACTGGAGATCCTGACGGGCCTGGCTCCTGCGCCTGCGGAGGCGCCTGTGCCAGGCGGGGGAGCGTGACCTCGTGGGTCCGCTCGGGCAGCGCGCCGTCGGCGCTGGGGGCTCTGCAATGGTACGGGCCGCGGCGGCCGCGGGGCAAAATGCTGCGGCGTCGCGCGGCCCGCTGCGGAGCCACCTAGGAGGAAGAGGAGGAGGAGGAGGAGGAGGAGGAGGAGGAGGAGGAGGAGGAGGAGGAGGAGGAGGGGGGAGGAGCGAGGGGGCAGAGGCAAGCGCGGCCAGCAGACGCCAACGCGCAGGAGGAAAAGGGAGGGGGCAAAGGGCGTCGGCGGCAGTCGGGAGGTCGTTGTGGGTCGTGGGCGGGCGGGGGTCGTCGGTGTGAGGGCCGTCGCAAAAGGGTTCGCCGGGCGTCGGGCGCGGCGGGCGAGGCCGTCGGCGGGGGCGGGGGCGACGGCGAGGGGGGCGGGGGGCGTCGGGGGTAGCAGGGCGGCCGCTCACGCGGCGTCTGCCGCGTTCGCCACCGTCGCCGCGGCGAGCCGGGCCGCGGGCGCCCTGTGTCCTGCACCCAGCGGAACACGGCCCGCGCATCTCCTTGTGTAGGAGTAGCGTGAGTCGCTGGGCGTGCTGCGCCGCCACGAGGGCGGGTGCCTCACCTGTGGCGTCAGCCACGCGCTTCGCCAGGACGGCAAGCGCGCGGCGGGCCTCCTTGCCCCAGGCGCCGCCGTGCGCCTCCATCGACGTGGGAATGGAAGTGACGCCTGACGCGCTGCAGCTGCGCGCCTTGTCGAGGCACTGGCGCTTCTGCTCCTTGAAGCGCTCGGCGGCGGCGCCCAGCGCGGCTGCCGAGGCTGCAAGGAGGTCGCCCCGCAGTCCGGACATGACCGCGAGGTCCAAGGGCAGCCGGGGCGCCGTTGCGCCAGTGGGGGATGTACATGTCTGCTGGGCGCTGGCCGGTCTCGTCAAGCTCGGCACTGTTGGCCTCCGTCCCTGGCGGGCCCTCCCCTCGCTCGACGGGCTGCAGCAAACCAGGCCGCTCGAGCTCGGGAAGCCCGCTGCCCTCGCGGCGAGGAAGGCCTCGTCGCGGAGTGCGTTGCGCCGCTTCACGCGGTCCCCGCGGAAGGGGCACACCAGCGCGCGGTCCCCGTAGACAGCCAAGATGACCTCCTGATTGCTTCAAAAAGGCCTCCAAGACGACCAAGATAACCTGACCTCCCAGACGGAGAAGAAAGAGTTGGAAATCACTTCATCAAAACAGCCTTCCGACTGCCCAAGCGTCCCAAGAGGCACCCCCAAGGGCCCCAATATTTCCCAAGGGGTGTCGAATTTTCTTGGAACCAGATACTGTTCTAACAAGAAGCGCTGTTCTTATAACACAAGGCGTGTGTCTGAAACTGAGGCTGCCTCAACCAGATATGTTCTCAGAACTTGTCGTGCTAACGGCGTGTGCGAACATCATTTGGGGAGCCTGTAGAAGGTCTGCGTCGCAGACAGCGGCTCTGCACGTTCGGGGTGGGCCACAGGCCCCGATTGGCAATCTCTTGGCGATTGGGGGTCGATGCATCCTCCCATGAGCTGATCCTCCCAAATGCTGATGAAACACACCCCGAGGCTGCAAAACCTCCAAAAACGTACGGAAAAACGTCATACAACCTCGTACCTCGAAGAGCCTTCCTCTTCGAAACAAGCACCGTCAAATTTAGAACTTCGAGCGTACCTCCCCTCCTCCTCGTCCTCCGCCTCCTCTGACGTTCTGCCTCCTCCTCCCCCTCCCCCTCCTCCTACTTCTGCTCCTCATCCGCCCCCTCCTTCCTCCTCCTCCTCGCCCTGGTCCTCCTCTTGGCGTCCCTGCCCTCCCCCTGCCCATCCTTCGACTGATTGGATCCCAAACAACCACACACGGCACGATGCGAAGCGACGATACGGAACGGGTAGCTTCTCTCACCCGTTGTCCCACTACCGGCCTGGCCACCGATGCCGCCGCAGGTTTCACGCCCCCTGCAAGCCCATGTTGGAAAGAAACCAAATGTCTCTATCTTATCTTCTGCGTTACGAGCCCATGCTTCACCGCGGCAACAAGAATTGCACACCTCGCCCAAACCAGCCCACGCACCTTCGCCCATCTCCTCCTCCTCCTCCTTCCTCCTCCTCCTCGCCCTGGTCCTCCTCTTGGCTTCCCT